AAGTAAAGCTGCGCAGGACATACGTCGCCGATCATCGTGCACACTATTTGCCGTAATCGTCGTCGCTCTTTGTGATCGTACATACGATCGGATCATCGCCAACGTACGTGTATTCGTGCATGCGTCTTCCGCTCGCTCGCACCTTTCCCTTCTCTCTGTCCGTCCACCTCTTACCTCTGTGTAGCACCACGTGCAGACGACCATAAATGTTTCATCGAATCGCTGAGAGACTCGTCTACAATCCGCCGGTTGTGCCCCGTCGTTGGAAAAGAAAGTTGGTGCTTGCGATTACATGAGTGCGACACGCGACAGCGGGGGACCCGCGTACTCGTGAGTTGCGCATTTAGCATAATTTTGCGCGCCGATGACATTCGCGCGAACGGCGTCGATTATCGCATTTGTTTCGATTTATCCGCGCATCCTGGATCGGAAGCAATTGCGAGAAAGTCTGAAGCAATGTAGCAAAAAGTCAAGGAATTTGAAATAATTTTGCTATAATTTCGATGCATTTATCTTCCAACATTGCCGATGCAGAAAAATGCAAGTTATGCCGGTTGCGGTTTTATTTATAAATGTGAGAATTATTTTTACGCGTCCGCTGAAACGAGATTTTATATGTACCAGCTTTAAAAGCTTGAGCATAAAAAATTTTCTAAAACTTGCGCAAATTTCTCTACGAAGAGATATTATAGAATTTATTTCTTTAAATCAATAAATGCCAAGCGTAATAAATAGTAAATAACGGTATTTTTATAGTATATTAAAATAAAATTTAAAAAATCGACTTTGAATATTTTGCGAAAATTATAGCTTACACCATAATATTGATCTAGTTACGAAGCCTCGAAGTAATGTTAGAGCATTTGCATCGGAAAACCGCTGGCAGAAGCATGCATGTACGCGAACTTATCGCGCATACCGAATGAACGGCGCACTTGTCTAAGCAGAATACGAATTGCACGAAACTTTGATAGCGCTTAAAGAATGCCTTCCGATAATAATGAAACATTAAAACGTTAAGTGCCGTTAAAGACAGTCTCTATAATATTTCATATCGAACTTCGGTGTTTTACTTCGATTTTATATCTTGTATGTGGATATCGACGTCTCGTACAAACTCGCCAATCTAATTTTAACTGCAAATACTATTTAAACTTTAAAGTTTGTAAACCAAAGTGTAATTTTGTTATTCTACTTTCTATTCCAGAATAGTTTGTATGATATTTTTATGAACGTATCTTTCAAGTTTTAAATTTATTTTTAATCCCAGGTTATTTAAACTCCAAAGCTATTAAGATTCTAAGATATCTCAATTATTTTAGCAAAGTGCAAGAGCATGACTAGCATCTCTTATTCGCATGACGGCGCATTAAAGTGCATTCGATCGTGCAGCACATCCCGTCGAGCGGCGCCATAAATCCGCTGTAATTCGTGAAAGAGTAGAGCTTCGTTAAAGCCGGAATGCGCGGAGAGTAGATTTTCACGTCGCCCTTAATCGAAATTTATTAACCATGGTGCAAGTGTCGCGCGGAATTGCATAGGATTGGATGACGCTCGCGCTTATTACGCACCTTAAAATTCATTTGTGCCGAAAAATTCTTATGTAAAGTGTAACCGAATGAACATGTCGATAGAAATCATCAACTTAATTATTTTAATTATTTAACTCTACAATATTTACGTATAAAAGAAATTTTAATTAATGTTATAAAATTAAGATAGAGATCGCGCGAGCCTGTATGTTTTATTTCTTAAACAAATCGCATAGAAATCTCTTTCTAGAAGGTATATTGGTCGATATGGTAAACGATGATCACGTGCCACCGTTTATGTTAATTGACATTAATCTGCGTGGAACAAAGTTTACAGGCGCCTGAGTCCCTAGCCGTCCGCCGGCGGATTAATCGAATTATATCTCGTGCCGGGAGTCTGACCGGCAATTTATTAGATCTATTCATGTGACGATGCATCATCATTTTCATCAACATCGCGTCACCTCGATTGCTCTACAATAAGTTTACGCTCCTTCACGAGCGACGTGCTCCGTTTTGTCACGTACTTTTCTATCCATTTGTCTATCCACGCGATCGGACGAATAATATCGCATGCGAATCATGTCTCGATCTACTGATCGAGCGTCAGTCGCTTGTGTCGGTCTCGTAGGAAAGTAAAGAACCTGTTTCGCGTTGTAAACGGAAGACCGGCAAGCTTATCGGGAACGCGAGATAAAAAGTGCAAGGATTTTTGGCGTAGATGCCAAGAGGAATATAATGACGACGTAATTAGCCTGTGTAATATTTGATTATAGTGAAAATGTGAAGATTTATTAATGATCCATTAACTAATTTTTACTCAGAGAATATCAGTGAATTTTTCAATTAATAATTAACTTTAATTTTTTAAATTAAATTATTATATAACATTATGTGGAAGATGACTGTCGCTTTTCAATAGATATTGTCGCGTCTATTTGCACATGTCTATTCGTTATGTTTGTGCAAGCGTTCAGGCTAACCGCAAAGTTTGCAATTATCATCGCTAAATTAGCTGCGTTTCATTAAGGATTAATCGCTCAGCAATTAACGGCGCATTACTGACGAGGACGACGATGTAATTGGCACGTGTGTTGATATTTCTGCGATTAACTTTCCGCACGTTTCACGACCGCAGAAAGCCGGCCAGCGGCGTAAGGCCAACCGCACTGTCGGAATTTTCCCAACGTTTGATAGATATAATGTACATGACGGTAATACATACGAGGAGTTATATTTAGAGTCTAATGCAAAAGCTGCGACACGCGATGATCCGCCTCGGCGCTTCTATTCAATTGAGGAAATCAAATACGAGCAATGTCTGATCAGGATTTCCTTTTCCCGTCGGGTATTGTGAATAATTAATTTTATCACAAATGTTTACATATCGCTATAAATATGACATTGATATTTCTAATTAAATCAAACAAATATTGTGCATTCTGCAAAAATAATTTTATTTATTGACACAAAAGATTATTCACAAATTTTTTTAAATTAAATATTTAATTAAATTGAGTTGATTTTAACTAGTTATTGAAAAGAATTATATTGTTTCATTTATTATCTGTAACATTGCAACATTTTAATTTGTATTTTTTTTTGCAATATTGCATGTAAATTAATATAAATAGGTGTACGTATGTATATTTGGAAAATGTGTGTTTTTAGTAGAATATTTACTTATAACTTCAGGAAAGTTTTATATGTACATAACCCGTTTGCTTATTAAAGAATTAATAAAAACTTTTAAGGACTGTTAGATAACTAGAATCTTTATTAAAAATAAAAGAAAAAATTTAAAGAGAGGAGGATAATTTTGTAAAATAATTAAATTTTTATTTACATTTTTTCGAGAACAAATAATTTTATTAGCGTTTTATTAAAACGACCGACAAAGATCAAAACATAACAACACACAACGACATTGTGGCGCCTTTATTTCCGCAGTCTTTATGTCTGTACGAAGAAGCATTATCGCGAGGTTTGATAAACTCACGACAAAAATATTTACGTCTCGCGTTTCGTTCATGCGCCACCACTTGGGTCGCGATTCGTGACATAAGATAGAATCAAATATCGGAGACGACCTGAATTTGCAAGATGGAAAAAATCCTTTGTCGTGAAATTAAAGCACTATTGTATAGCAAAGATCAATGTTTTTTATCGTCGATTATTATTTATAATGATAGTGAAAATAATTGCACAAATGTGCCGATTAATCCGACACGTAAGGAAAAAATAATTACACGGCGAGATCAAATTTATGAGACACGAGTTTAAATTCTGAGCGTGAATGTAATCTCAGGTGAATGTAATCTATAACGTGATTTTGCTTTTGCACGCGAGGAACCGTCTGCAAAGCGTGAGGGAACATCGCATACAAGAGAGTAGAGAACGATCGAAATAGAATGTAAACTAAAATCGCATTAGAACAAGCGTAACTTATGTATCTTTTCCACCAAACGATTAATGCGATGTAAAGAGGAATTAACGTTTAATTTCTTAAAATATATTTAGCACGAGAGGCGAATGGACTTCGTGAAAGATTTGTCAAGATTTCCGAGATCACGCAATTTGTATTTGAAATAGAGTCACCTAATAACCCCGCGTTATACTTTCCAGCGTCGAGTGTGCGAAATAAATATTTCATGACTTTTATCGGCGCATTGTGATTTAATGGCATACAATTAGTCATGCGCGTCTCCTTTCGCGCGTCGGAGAAATTATTCACCGGTAAAACTACCCTCCGCACGCTCGAAACTGCAATTATGCGCCGCGCAATACCTTATTATGTAGCAGTAAGGCTAGGATATTTTTCTTTCCTCACGCGAATGAATTGAACCGGCTGAATTCAGTTTGTAAATTTTCGAGCGATAAGAATATAAGAGAATAAGTAGCTCTTTTCCATTGAGACTCGACACTTGAACCGTCTCACGATTGTTATGTCTCTTGTTCGATCGAATGGAAAACAAACGTGCTCACCTGTCGCATTATCCTAATCACCGTACGTGTCTCGTATTATTTCTCGTGTTCCACAGATGATCATTTTATAACGCGCATTTCCCAAGCCTGTCTCGTCACGCTTGTCATTATACATCTTCATACGGCAGATTTGATGAATTGCTTCATGCGGGTGACGTGGTGGATACGTCTCTCGAAAAAGAAACCTTACATAATGTTTTACTGAAACGGAAAACTCGGCATGCAACGATAATCGGACAAGTGTGATGCATTATGTCATTTTAATGTCACGTCACGAAATAAATGAAAATGCACGTGAATTTTGTTTTACATTTAGCATTTTTAATCGGTTGACGCCATGCTTATTTCCGCACTCGTAAAACTTTTTCGCGGCCGACTGAGTCACAATTGTCGATTAAGTTCGAAGGCTGACAAGACCGTCGCGCTTCGTTTCTGCGATCTGACCTAGTTTCTTATTCTTTTTTTGCATTTGTATGGTTTTAGTGTCCGTGATAGTACGGTAAACGGTGTCTTACCTGCTGGCGATTGCAAGATCTGCAAGGATACGAGGAACGAGCCGAAGGACTCCGAAGGCACGTCTCTGCTTTGCGCGCTGAAACCGCGTAAGCGCAAGGAACGTCGTGAATCCTGCTGCCAGGAACGGAAGTTGATAAGGTATTGTGAAATTTTGATTATACAAGTTATTTGACAGCGTTTATAATATCTGGGACGTTAATTTTAATATTGGAATTCTAATTATTTTTATTTTAAGTTTTTTGAATTGTATTTTTAGTTATTCATGAAATGAATTGTATGTATTAATATTCTTGTGCGTCATTCCAATATTAAAACATTAAATGTGTAATTTGTATTTTGTTAATTATAGATAAAATCAATCGATTTCATTATGTATAATAACGCTGTATGCAATGCAAGATTACTGACAAATTGTTCCAGATTTCACTCGTCTGTTATTAATTAAATTGATATCAGTACAAACAGTAAATATTGAATATGAATTCCCTCCGCTCGACATCTGATGTCAAGATGGAAAAATGTAAAATATTTATTTGACGGATTTGGCACGGCCCGAATTTTATGAATGCATTTGCGTTTTGTTCGTTTTTACTAGCGCTGCATTTCGGTGCATTTAAAAAAAGAATTGTATTTGAAATGCGACGGCTATGCCTTTCAGGAGCAGTAGTGAGGAACGTGTTCTTGACAGTCCCACCGACGTCGTCGCAGATACAATTAGACGTGTGAGTAGCCACGAAGATTTCAACAGCCAGGAACATTTACATATTTTATCGCAACTCGGCCAAGATATGGGACACGGTGTGGTAAGTACAATATAATTCACTATAATAATTTTTAGTCTTTAAAGATATTAAGAAGCAAGCTGCTTATATTTTTATAACTACTAAATAATTTTTATATATAATTCCGGAAACATATATTCCCGATAATTTTATTGTCTTTTAACAAGCGTTTTCTTAGGCATATTAAAATTGTCTCGTCATCGCATAACAAATTGTTTTATTTTACGTATCGCAATGGAATACTTTTGGTATCTTATGCGATGAAAAATAGTTCAATATCTTAAGAATTGAGTATTTATTTATTTCGTCGTCTGATTCATTCGTAATCGCACACAGAGATGCGGCGGTTTACCGCTTCACGAGAGAACCAACGTCTCGCCGGTCTCAAAGAAAACGTCATCCGTGCCGTCGCCATGCGAAGTGGTCGTGGCGACTGAGAAATATGACTGCGACGCTGAGAAATTGAGGAGTAGCGAACGTTTCAGCAGAAGTATCACCCCGAGAGGTAGGAGACAAGCGCGTAGAAGAAGAGTGCACAGAGTTCCGGATGCGGATCAAAGTTCCAGCAAGGTAAGCACGATAAAATCCAATATTTGCTCTAAACTATTGGCTTTATAAGTTGTGTACGATATCTATATATTGAAGAAATTCAATTTTAATAGAATTATGTATAATTTTAATAAAATTAAATTTTGATAAAGTGCCGATGTTCCATCAAAGCCTTATCCTGAACATTAACATAATCTATTCGATCTATTCTTATATAAATTTACGAATATCACGCGTGGCATTTTTAATAATAATACGATTTAATAAATATTGCGATAAACACTGCATAATGCTTAAAGTATTTTGATGCATATTATGAATATTATTTTTAATAAGAAATAAAAATGATTTATTTTTTGTTAGGAAAACGAAGAAGAGTCTGAAAGTATGTATATTGCCAATTTATCACCGAACCCGAGCAGCCATAATGGCTCGCCGGCTCAAAGCTTTTTGGAGATGCTGAGCAGCGGGCCGAGCAGATCACCTTCGCCTGCTCGTCCACCTACCGTCGATCACGAAGATGTGAATAATCCTAGCTTGACCAATTGGGGCTTTCAACATTTGGAAGGAAACGTAAGTATCTCAATTAGTTAAAATAAAAGTCGCATGTATAATTAATATAATTTCAATAAAAGGATGAAAAATTATGCATATGAATAAAAATATGCATAAAACGAACAATATGTATTGGTTGAAAATCTAAAATTTATGAAAGATAAATTTAAATTTTCAAGGACATATATTAATTACATGTATCTGTTGAATTTTTTAGGAAGAAGCTGTGGACGCGCGAGTCGAAGCCATGCTCTCGCCGAGAAATTCGCTGTTGCTTCCCAGAAGATTTTACTCCGAGGAAGAGATACAACCGAGCACGGCAACTTCATCGGACGTAGGGCTGAAGAATTTGGCAAAACATATTAATGGCCTGAAGAAAAAGATCAAAAAGTACGAGGACGAATTCGAGGAGAACTTCGGCTATCGGCCGAGTCACTCCGATAAGATGAGCAACCGCGACATCAAGCGATTATGCACAGAGCTGAATAAATTGCGAAAAGAACATAAATTGCTCAAGGAGGATCCGATAGGTGCGCTTCTGGCCAACAACCGATCGAACACTGCCGGCAGTCCCATTAACAACAATAATAGCCATGAGAAATCTCGGGCGACATCGATGGAGGAGATGGTGAAGGAAGCGGAGAAGAAACTCAGCGAGAAGCGGCTCAAGTCTAATCGGCCCGATAATATGGAGGAGCTCAGCTACGAGCAGCTGTTGGATGAAAAGACGGCCGTCCAAAAGGCGTTGCTTCACATCGAAAACACTTTCGGCAGGCCGGTCTCTAAGGAAGACAGAGGGGTCGTTCGACCGTTGTACGATCGGTACAGGACGTTAAAGAGATTGCTCATCAGAGCAGGCGCGGTAAGAATGATAAATTACTGAGAAAATATTAACAAAATGATTCGAAACAAAAAAATAACAAGCAATATATATGATATGTTGCAGAGCAAAAACAAGGACAGCGTATCAGAATTGGCTACGATTTTAGAGCACGAAACGATGGATTTTACGTCGTCGAGTTTACCAGTGAATCCCGCGGAAACCGACAGGAGGGCCAGCGAGCCCGATATGTCTCACCGAGGTATCCTGGACTGCATTGATCCCGCGGATCAATTGCCGACCGACAGCGATAGTCAGCACAGCAGCAGCGAAGGCAGTCGCGGTCCCGCTGAAAGTCTACACGCTCTTCCCCAGTAAGTTCAGATAGATTTGTTTAAAAAATCAATGTATATAAACTTTTATGCAACGTTTAATCAAATGTCTCTTTCCATTTGTAGAGAAGAATTACTGATACAGCAACGGGCTACTCGAGAGGAGAAGAAACGACTTCGTAGGGCGTTGAAGGAGCTGGAAGCACAGTTTGAAGCTCGAGCTGGCCGTCGTATGCAACGCGAAGATCGTGGACCGCAAGTTACCACCGTGTACGAGTCCTACAAACAAGCGAAAGCGAAATTGAGATTGATTGACGCCCTTATAGCCAAGAAGGCTTGACGCAGTATTTAATGCACGAATAATGAAGAGTGAAATTACGCTATTGAAACTCCTGAACGAGTTTCGAGTGCTATGGGACACAGCTATTGTACCACGAATGCAGCGACACATTTATGTAGTCCGACGCTATTTGCATCGTGAAATCACAATTAAAAGGGCCTGAAGAAACAGTTCGATCCAGCATCTGCTGAAGCGAGAAACAATAATGTAACCAGAATCTATCGCCCAGAATCAAAAGGTTTCGAAGGCAAAAACGTGGAAGTGGATGACATTTGCGAGTGTAAGATTTACTTCGCTTTCGTAAGTTCATGCGTACCAATGTTTTATTTAATTTTCTTCCAGTCGCGCAGATTCCGCATTACAATGGGAAGTAATACTGAATATTTTTCGATATTAAATCAATGCATTATTTACAGCATCGTTGTTTCGATCAGCTTAAAAGACATATTGGAAGTACGCATGAACGGACAAGTTATAGTGCGCAATAGTACGATTACTGAGTAAAAACATGGTATCGAGATAGCACATTTGAGATCTTTAAGCACTAATAATTCTAGAGCATAAAGTGATTGCTATGATACATCGTGCTATGATACATCGTGTAACACGCACGATGAGATAATCGTGAATCTCGTTTCATCACATCATTGTATTTATCATTCGTTCATTTTCAATGAAAAATTTCCATTTGATTGTCCTCCAATTTGTTTATCTTGTATGCAGGATTAAGATGGATTTTTGACAACAAAAAATCTGAATACCTGTTTTGATATATTCACAGTTTATAAATTGTCAACCAATTGGTTACAAATATGAAACGTACTTATATTTTTATATATATTTGTTGCAAAGATTTTTAAATTTTATTTATATTTAAAGTGTCAAGTTTTATACGGATAAACGCAAGAACCAATATCGAATGAGCAATGCCTGACGTTAAAGATGGACTTGTCGTTTTAATCGTTTTAATCGTTAAGGCAAATCCAGATTAAGATTTTTGCAAAATACACAAAGGAAAGACATATATCACGGTTTGAGGTAAATATATCAAACAACATTTTTATTTAAAACTTTAATAAATAATTCTATATATTTGTTTTTCAAAGGGAATACACTTTGTTTGTTTGATGAACTATTTCTGATTATTTTATCATTGTCAGAATTGTTTTTTTTTTGTTTTTGTTTTACAGAACTGATTTAATATAACAATTGATTTCACCAACGAGTAATACTATATCGATAAGATGTAGAAAACTAGAAGAGAACGGGTATTCATATAATGAATGGACGTTTATAGCGAACCCGATATTTATTTTATCATTTTAAAGTAATCGCTGAAGTCTAATGCTGAGAGAGTAAAGAACGAATCTGTGGGGTTACTCGTAATGTAAGTACCTTGTAAGAGATATCACATGTTGTAATATTGTAGAGTACTATAAAATGTTACGATCTTAATGACGTATTAAAAGAAAGAAAAGAATATTCATTAAAAGAAGCTCGTTGATTTTTGCGTTTATATTTTTGTACAAGTACGATTTTAAGGCCGTTCGCAACGTATACACACAGCCGATTAGGGAATACCGTAAAAACGCCTTAAAATTCCACTTGATCGATTTTTTCACGCAGAATCTCTAGAATCAAGGGTGCTAATGGCTTGAGTTCTACAGCGTGCCGACTAACATAAAAAGAAATGCTTTGCAAGTCTTACTGAGTTGCAATCGCGCCGAAGGGGTTCTTGCTTTTTACTACATCATTGCGACGAAATTAGTCATCGACTATCTCAAAAATCTCAATATATAACCAAGATGCAAAAATTGTGATGATTCTATCTCTTTGCAGGAACGGTGATAGTTTCTTTTGACAACATTAGATAACATTTTTACACAAAAAAAGAATTTCTCTTGCAGTGATTAGCAAGTCCAAATAATTTTTTATACTACAACTTTCTTTTAAATTCCAATATAATTGCTCCACAAAGAGTTGAGTTTTGCATATTCGTTATATATTGCGATTTTAACATCGAATTCTTCAGAAAATTAGCAAACAACCCCGTAAACTAATTCCACACACCCGCAGATAAAATTGATAAAGTTTTTGGAAAAAAAATTATATATCGGCGTTGACGAAATAATCACGGGCATGTGAATGCGAAAAATGCGTGTCCGTTCTAATTAATAAAAATTAATAACAAGCAAAAAAAAAAAAGAAGAGAGAATGAAACAATTTTTTAGACCAAAGCATTTTTTAGTCTGTGATATAATGAGAGATATATTTGCGTTAAGATGGAAGAATGTGTGTGTGAAGTATTCGGTTCCGTTTTTTTTCTTCCTTTTTTCCTTTTCGAAAGCGATTTTTTAGACGATTGAGATAAAGGAGGGAATGATTTTTCCGCCGTTTTCTCCACAGAAGACGATTGGTGTTGGCAATCTCTTCAGAAGATCTTACAGCGATGACGATAACTTAAGTAAAGCCATGTCTTTTCTGGTAGAACAGTTGCAGGCAGGATAATCATTGCAGAGAACACAAAATAAGAGCAGATTTTTTTTATAAATAACCACAATGATTGAAATAAATATATCAAGATATTAAAATAATCAAGCACTAAATCGCTCTGTTAATCGATTGAGTCTTGAAATTAATTAATCTCTCTTATCTGGTATCATTTATTGACTTGTTTCTCAATAGACTCTTAAAAGTAAGCGGTAGTAAAAGTATTTTATTGTCGCAATAAGATTGTTCTCTGCGTTTCTCTCGATTGTACTTCTGCATCCGTACTGCCGAAAGGACTTATTCACGAGAGTAAATTCATTTTGTATTCAACGTCACAGGAATGTTTTTATTTCCCACGGGCGCATCTAAGCCGCGTCCTTCTACAGTAGGAAAGAAAGAGAGCAAATTAATCTTATCGTAGATTTAAGATGACATTTTATATTAACGTTAATTAAGGTACATTTTGTAGTGCATAGTGTCTTTAACATATAAGAATGGATGATTCTGTGTAGTTGCTTCGAGAGAGAGAGACAGAAGCAGGAACACTTTAGAACAGAGATCGCAGATACAGAGAAGCGAGAAAATTTTATTTAGCAACACTAAGAAGGCAGAATCGGATAGATTATGAATCGTTGAATTAGTACTTTAAAAGAAAAAAAACAAAGAGAAACGCTAGATATTCCATGCCGACCGCATGATTTCCGACGACATATCTAGAGAGATTAGAGCCTTGCGACAGAGAGAACGAAGAAAGAATAGATGAGCAGAGAAAATTAATTGTGTAACGATCAATTTCTCTTGGGTATCGTCGTACGTAGCTGCAACTGACAATTGCAATTGACCGTGAGAGCCGCGACGACGAAAAATCCGTCTCTATCCGTAGGAGTCCTAAAAAAACAAAAAAAAATAAACAAACCACCTTCGGCGTTTATACACAAATGTTGATATTATGTATATACATATATATATTATATGTATAGAGGTACAGGCAGAGCTGCGCATACATAAATTACATACAACCGTACATGCATACGAACGAATATTACACATTATTATGAGGTAGCACGCAGAATCGAATAAAGTGGAATATGATCTGCTAAAAATATTCATTTATTTGCAAAGAAAAAAAAACCTTCCAAATCGCTCCCTGCTAAAACAGCGCGATCGACGCGCTGTTAAACGCGCATCTCTTTTTTTTATGAAAAATCCACCTAATGAGAGAAGGAATCGATTAATTCCGTCGTTCTCTCGGTTCTCAAAATATCGAAATTTTATCAAAATATGATCAAAATGTGACTTGATAATATTTAATGCGATTAATTGTTACCGTAATTAGACGTGACGTTACGACACGAGCTGCAGTTGCTTATGAAACGTTTGAATTTGTCGTAATAATGCAGCCAGTTGCATAGAAGTGGATGGCTCTTGCATTGCACCGTAAACTCTTGATCGACCGAGGATCTGCGTCGGATTCGAATGCGACTTCCCAGGTATAATCGATATGGGAAGAGAATTTTTGTGAGGTCCCTTGGCCGATTCGGTCGCGATACAAACGAGACTGTTTTTATCGTGCAATATTTTCATTTGCTGCTTCAGCGTCATTACCTGTTGTCGCAATATATTGTTGAAAGCATGCCTGTGGAATGCATTAGTCAGAAATATTTCTTTAACGAGTTTTTACTTCTTTGTAAAGACCGACAACAGCGTTAATTTCTTCTTCCTTGACGTTGAGCTCCTTCTCCAGAGTGGACAGCTCTCGCACTAAAGACTTATCGTCGGTCTTTCCTAACTCTGATTGCAATTTCTCATATTTCCTACAAATCGAGAGCATAACTAATAGTTTTCTTTTTTTTTTATTTTCAGATTGTTTAATTTCACACCAACACTCACGTGTTCATCTCTTCGAACTGATCGTGAAGATTAATCAGAATGTCACGTGTCTCTTTCGAATTGTGCGCGCCGGGAATACGCATTCTCTGATCGCCGACGTTATCCTGCAATGCCAATATATTATAATATATTTAAAGTAAACTTCTGAAAACCGATTTACCTTTTTTTGCAAGGACGTTTTGGAACTTTGTTGCTGACTTTTTGCATCCGATGGCTTGTTGCTTTTATTGACGAAGGTAAAAGACTGCTTTTTAATCTCGTGATCATACGAATCGCCCTTCTCTTTATAAAATTGTTTAAAACTGTTGTTATCTTTTTCAGAAATCATTTTTGAGTTATTGCCAGACACATTTGGCATACGAGCATCTTTTTCCATATGTCGTAAATCAGGAGATAATTTTTTATCTTGATTGACACTTGGATTTTCCCTGCCGTTCAATATTTCAACCATCTGCGAGCTCGCTTCGGGAACCGATTTTTCACAATGACCGTTTATCTGTTCGAGAAGAATCGACATCGGTTTCATGCCTCTGCTGACTTTACGAATCAACGACGGAGTGATATCGTTCGCGATCGACTGGCTCGTCTTCATCACGCTCAATACCTGCATTGCGGAAAACGTTTTCAACACTTACTGCCTTCCTGAACATTGACGACTTACTTGTTGGATGTTCATTCCGAGATTGTGACTCGGCGTCACCGAAGTTCCTACCACAAAAGGTATATTTCGAAAGTTAAATCTACTAAAGTACGATCTGCTCGCGCGTTTCAACTTCGACGCCAAAGTCGGCATCTCGTAATTTGGTGTGAACATCGGGTCGTCGTATCTATTCAATGCAGCGTGCTCATATTGATGCGTTTTGCTCTCCATCGGTGAATAGAGATCGGTAGAAGGCTTCTCCGATTTAATTTTTTCCTGAACGTTCTCAGAAGGCATTCTGAAAAAAATTAAATTAATAATGCTTACGAAAAATAATACTTGTTATAATTATTGTTATTAGGACAAAAGTTACTCTGTGTTGCTTTGAGAATTTAATATCTGAGGAGGAGGATTCTCGATTTGTTGATATTCCTTTTTACGAGTTTGATACTCATGATTAATATGTTCAGAGGGCGATTTCTCTTGGATCTTCTGAGCAGCTGGTTCAATAAGTTGTTTCTTTACATACTTTGCTTGTCTACTGAGTTTAGAGTGCTTACTGGACACCACAGAATTACTATCCTTTAATGTAGTATTATGAAAAATTTCCACAACATCATTGGATTTTTTTAGATGCTTTGAAAGAGTAGGTTTTGGATGAATAACGGCATGATCCGCGTTAAACATTTGTGCTAAAAGAAAATTTCATAACAGGTTTGACAAAGTGACGTGAGAATTGTTGAGATTGTGCAAGAATTTAATTTTACCTCTATGTTTGCGCCTTTTTATTTCTTTTCTGCGGACAAAATATGTTTCTTTAGTAGCAACAGTGCTCTTGGAAGCGGAACTACGTAATTTTCCTTTCCTTTTTCGCGTTTTAGATATTGTGTCATCCGCTTTATAAAAGGAATTTGTCTCGCTTCTCTCCATTCTCGATACATGTTTATTTCTTTCCGTTCGTCTGACCTTTGCGGTATCCAAAATGTTCAAATTCAATTCCAGATCTCCAATATCTTTTGTCACAATGTCAGACATCGAATGGAAATAATCCTCATCTGCTTTTGATGTCAATTCTTCGATTGATCCTTCCGCGTTCAGCAAATGTTGCAAATGTTCACGCATATATTCCGGCAAGCAAGATATCCGGGAATTATCGTATTCTTCATTCGCCTATTCGTATTTTAAACTTGTAATCATAACAAATTTATATACGATATTTTTCTATGTTTTATAATAAGTATATAATTGTGCCTACTTCTATGATTTCATTCGCGACTGGCATTGACGTTATCGCCGGAGGAAGTTTCTTATCTAAATGAGTCCTTGGTGTAATTTTAACATTCAATAATCCTTGCTCTCTCGCACTTTCGGCTGCCTCTATAAAATTGTCACCATCAGTGCTTTTTCTGAACGAAAATTGACTGGATTTTGGGCTTAAATGGAAAGTATCTGCAAGAATAGAAAATAATTAAATATTTAAATCGGGACTTTAAATAAAAAAATTTTTTTACCAAATTTTTCCTCAGCATTCTGTTCAATATTATAAATTCTATCGAGCATGTTATAGCTGGGAGTTGTATTCGCTGTAATTTCATTATTATAATCGTGATATTCAACGGGAGATTTCAAGATTAAATTTTTATACGGCGATGTTATTCGCTCTGGCAAAACGTCAGACGGTTCTTTACTTCCTTTTTTTTCTGTTTGTACTTTCCGACAAACTCCCATCATGTAATTTAATTCAGATTTTAAAGTAAAGCATTTTGTCTCCGCTATATCCAATTCCTGTCCAATTTCTAAATTTAATTAGCTTAATAAGTAATGCTTTAATTAAAATATTTTTATAAATTAAATATTCTCAAAAAGAGAACTTATAAATGAGAAAAACTATAAATACTTTTTAGCGTGACGTTTGATTTGCTTTCTGATTCATTTAATTTGTATGATTGCTTTTCAGATTGATTCTTTACAGATAATTCTGAAATAAAAAATAATATATAATAATATATAAATAAAGATTTAAAAATTCAGTCATTATTTGAATAATTACCACAAATTTCGTTTTTGTTGTTACGAATGTTCATGTTGGTCACATTAAATGCTTTCATTTAACATTCACAATTTTTCATTCACATGATGCAGTAAAGTTAAACATATATTACATGCAAATCTGAATTTAGTGAATGTTTCTCCGGATAAAAATAATTGATTCCTCACAAAATATATATACACATACAAAATTCAAAAAATAATTCATAGGTTACAGTTAACACGGTGGACAATTACATCGTTCTCTTGTTGTAAAATGCTTTTTTGTTTCGAAAAATTATACAGATAAATTCAACATCTACGCTTTCACAAGAGAAGTGTGAAGCGTAATAAAAATTTTATTTTAATTTATTAAATTTTATTTATTAAAAGCGTATTTAAAAATTTTGCGCCATTTTTTGTCATTGTCGTATTACTCAAGAATTAAACCCGTGTGTAGGTTTATTTAAGAAAGTGCAATAAATGCAAAAAAATAAAACGTAATTTTTTAAATTTAATTTACCATTTTACATCATTTATTCAATAGATTTTAATTAAATGGACTTCAAAATTATTATTATCTTGAAATAACTATAACAAGATACAAAGTATTTTTGCAAATTTGGACCTTGCAAAAATTCGACCCTGGATTTCGATGCTAGAGTCTGCGATCAGTTTGCATTGCCACCTCTGCTGTATGTAACTAGAACAGGGAATTTTGAACGGCGTTCGCCGTCTGATGGCGCTCGCGTCCATTTCGCGAATGTATTTTAGGAGAGCGTACGGAGCGAGCGGCAGCGAGTTGCAAATGGTGGATGGTGTGTGATCCTGGTTACGTTAACATCAGGTAGGCGAGCCCCTCTGCGTGCGACGTCATCCGGACGTTGTCAGGATCGTCAGGCGTGTCGCGAGATATTTTAATCTACCGATCTCTCACCGACAACTGGCATGATAACCTATGTCCGTGCATGATCGTCCGCCGATCGTCCGCTGTGCTTGTACGTCGCAATAGCGACAGATTACGTCCGATTACGTAAAATCGCCGCAACGGACAAAAATAGTCACCTGACTCCGCGACACGCCGGGCTCCCCCGTGATCTTTTTATCGGGAAGGCATTCGCGATAAAATCCGATCGGCGTCAATATCATTTAGCGCGCGCGATCGCTCCGTCACATGACGAAATCCTAACCGTAAAACCTCATTTCCGAGAACTCAGCCGAGATTCGCGCGTTATAACCGCACGTCGGAACGTTAAAACGGCAGAAATTTTTCCACGGCAGAAATCGAAAGTCTCTATAGACACTAAGCAATGTCACAACTCGTTAACGATTTGTTGTCTATTCGTTAGCGATTCGTTAGTGCATCGTTAGTGATATTCTGCCGGCTGTTCGATCAAGCGCTTCGTACACGTGAGTTTACATGCGTCTCGCATGCGGTTAATACGCTATGACGCACGCAAATTTTTATTATAATGATATCTTTCTGCGCTTGTTCGTTTCTATTTCGAAAATCACTGTTACAAGTTTATTCGTTTCACAGTCGCACAGTTTGCGAAATTTCATTTTTCTTTATTCTTTTCTTCTCTCTACAAAACTATATATCTATCTCAATTTATGTGTTAAAATGGCGGCAAAATGCAATACTCATTTTGAATAAGTACATATCTTATATATTTCTATTGTTTAAAAATGCAACAAATGTACAACTAAAAGAAACAAGCCTTGCACGTGCAGGTTTTTTCTCTCTAAATTTCGAGTTTATTTTCAATAAAAGAACACTAAATAGAACAATACAAAATCTATTTTAGAGCATTCTTTCGCGCATATTTTCTTACAGTTTTTTTTTCTTTCATGCGCGCAGAGTGTATCGCAATACAAATAAAAGAAACGAGTGTACAATAATCGCAAGTCGGTTGTGTAATCTGCATGATAGCTTCGCCGAATCGCCTCGTCTGTCATCTCGGCATGTGTCATTCAAATACGGCTGTGTTCTCAGTACCGGCGTATGTGACGTAGCGAGTGATAGTCGAACATTCCCCCCCTCCTTCCTCCCCCCACTTTCGCATAATCGTAGTTTCTTGTAGTTCTGAAACAGACTGAGACAGTCTGGAATTTTTCCCGGTAGCGTCACATGTGCGTAAAATAAGCCAGCGATCGCCTCGATTTAAAACGATTCGCGCAGTGAAAAACATTAATGTTTTTCTAATTGTGTTTTTTCTTTTTTTTGTATTTTGGATTTTTTTAAATCTAAAATTTATTTTAGCTTATTCCGTTTTTTTTTAAAGGAGACTAAGAACTCGTGAAGGTGAATGCGATGTATTTTACGTTTCGTAATAGTGCAATTGAGATTTATGAAAAAAAGCAGCGTGATTCAATGCTCATCAACTTATTAACTTATATCATCATTCAAAATTATTGTGCGAGTTTCAATGAAAGAAACATGAATCTTCTAAGAATTTTAGTCGCTCTTTCGTTATTTGCTTCAGTACTTTCTCAATTGTTTGAATTTTATAATCCGATCCCCCCAAAAAAAGAGAAGTGCACAGTCTCACAGATATTTTTTCTCTGTCTAAACTGAAAATTATTATTTAATGATTCTATATATTTAAGTAAATTATAATTGTTAATAATTTAATAATTATTGAAAAATATTCCAGTATTACAATTACCGTCTGTTGACCTCCGTTATATTAAACCTTGTTATCAAGGTTTTGAATTGTCATAGTGCCCATAAATATTCAACACGGTCATTTGAATTTCAATATAAATGTCTGGCACGAGTAAAAATTAAACTTTTCTTTTCTCAAGGAAATTGTTCTTTTTGCTAGGAAAAAAATAATGTTTCAAGGTGTTTTAAAATGTGAATTACACTTGTTTTTAGCGGACAGAATTTAAAGGCTTATCGAGATTTTATCAACTTTGGTAACGTACAAGTTTTGCTCGCGCTTCATTCGTGTTGTCATGTTTTTAGCCTTTGAACTGTTTTTTCAAGAAAGTACTTAAAATAGTGACGTTTTGTGACTCATTCAAGCCTATTGAATAAATATTTATGGTGATCAGAATTTTTGTAATGTGATATAATCATTTTATATTTACATTTAAATGTAGAAATTATATTTTTAATCAGATTTTTAAATTTGTTGAAATATTATGCAAGACATTAACTAGAATCATGTTACGTATTTGGAAATTGGCCAGTTTTTTTTTTTAAATAAAGCTTTGACGGTTCGGTATTTACAATGCAATTGTTAAAACGCAATAAAGTAAAACTTGTATGTTAGTACAAATAAATGTTAATCAGCTGTCGATATAAATATAACGGTATAAATTCTTTATGCTATCTGTCATTAAAACTAGAATAAATTGTTACTAGTTGAAACGCACATAAATATTGATCAATTTTATCAAGTATTAATTTCAAATTTTGCACATCGTAAGAATGATTTTGTGGTTTGTTATACACGCGAGACTAAATTAAAGCACGGATTCTATAAACAAAGTTATAAACTGACTGATGCTTTACTTGGCTCATGCCACAACACATGTATATATGTACAAAATGTTCAATATATGTTTACCTGAATACATAACAGTCGAGTTGTTTACTAGACATTATAATTGCGAAATATGCATTTTAGACTTTCCCGTATTTTTGAGTAATGAATTGATATGATATGCAAGTGAACTTTAATGATGCAACGAGAACAATGATAAGGCAATAACACGTAGCAGATAAGACTAGACAAATCAGATTATAACTGCGTGCGAGATTTGCTTAACACACATCGGTACGCTTATCAAAGTCTTCCTGTTCTCATTTAATGCGCCTCACGATGATTGGCACGAGGTACTGAAACGCTTAATCTAAATGCAGGTGTGATCTTGAGACAACAGACAACTGTGTTTAGTCTCTTCGAGCATTTAAATGATGCGTAAAATATCGTATAATCTTATCTACAGTCACATTTACGCAATTCCATTTGCTTATCTAAAATACCTTTTTCAAGAAATGCTTGCGTAAAATAAAATCATAATAACATTTTGCTGTGTTTCAGGTAAAAATGTATAAGGCGAGAACAATATTTCGCACGCTGGCCCCTTTGGCGCCGCGTGTATGCGGTCCCGAAAGATACGCGTCCTGGGTGGTTCGCAGTCATCCGTTAACCAGGACGAGTCAAGTGATCTTCACTGAACCCACGCGCAAGTACAACAGCCGTGCTGCGACCGAACCCTTCTTAAATGGCAGCACTAGCTCTTACGTGGAGGAAATGTACAATGCGTGGCTGCAAGATCCAAGCAGCGTACACGTGGTGAGTAAATTTACAAATAAATTTTAATATAAAATTAATAATTAATATTATATAATATTATATAATTTATTAATAATTAAATTAAGAAATAATTTTTTATCTGAATATATCTAACTAAAATTTATCGACAAATCGAAAAAGATGTGTCTATTATTAACATTATTTATCATCGTTTTCTATGATTTCGAATTTGATCGTTTGTTCGTATTATTGAACTAGAAGGAATTTTCTTAAATTTATTTTATCTCTGTTTATTTGTAGTCATGGGATTCCTTCTTTCGAAACAGCACTGCTGGAGCTGCACCAGGATTCGCGTATCAAGCACCGCCATCCCTCGCTCCAAGCTACAATCAAGTACCACTTGGAGCGTTGTTGCCCCTCGGTGGCGGGACGCAACTCGGTCAGATGCCCGTGAACGAAAAGATCATTGATGATCATCTAGCGGTGCAAGCTATTATCCGCTCTTATCAGGTATGTTATCGAAATTTTGTTTATCCCCGGTGAGATGAATTTTAATGTGTTGCTCTTGCAAACAAGTATCCTATATATAACAGTTTATTTGCGGAATTCAGTAATCAAATATCGGTAATGATAATTTGTAGTTATTTCCAATTTTATTACCTGTTTACAAGAGATGACATCGAATCATCTGCAATTTGCTTATACAATATGAACGATTAAATGCAAAAAGTGTTTTTTTTACAATAATATTTTAATTATGCAAAAATTGTTACAACACTCTCTGGATTTTTAATACATTTTCTGCTCCTATCTCTATTAAGAAGGTATAATCATAATATTCTTAATTTTATTTTAAACATGCCTAATAATTTAATAATTTAAAAAGGAGGAGGATACTTATTAAAATTTATTAAAATTTGTATAAATAAAAATATATGCATATGTATTTAATAGAGATATCAATAATTAAAATTTTATGGACGACAGTCTATAATATTAAATATTTTAGCACAATATTTATATATATAAAGAAGGTTTATAAATTCTTAGTTTTACCCGTGCTTAAACGAAAGCTATGCTGTACTGCTAGTATATCAATTTTACTTTATTCATACATTACGGGAATGACTATAGCATGCACATTGATACATTCTACTTACTTTAATATATATATGCATGTGAAATCCATTGAATGAAATCTTTTAATCTTGGTGTCTCAGATTCACTTATATGGAATAGGTAAAACTTTGTGGTGGGATAAAAGATAATATTACGCAGACATATTACGCAGAATTTATATTCGTGTAATACCTGACGTAAATTTTATATTGCTGGTAGAAAAGATATGAGCCTGGGACATATGAGTGATGAAATATTGTATGTCACTATTTATGCTTCACTATCAGGGGCTATCATGTGTGTTTCCACATTTTCTGATATCATATTCATCTTATGTTTCATGTGCTATCAGCACATGATTATACAATAAATGTATTGGGTACAAGTAGCAATTATAATTATGAGTAAATATTGCATAATAGCCTCATTTCGTATGATTGTACTATTGTAGTTGCTCACTGCATCTTCTACCTCAAGCATGTCTTGCAAGTCCACATTTTTTCCTAGCAAGATTGATAATAGATTTTTTTCAAATCTTAATCTCTTGGTTTATCACTTTTGTCCAAGTGAATCAAACAATTTCACTGATATCGAGGAAGAAGCAGCAGCACACTATTTTTAATTACAGTTATAAAAATTGATCAATAGCAATAATCCCTTATAATGTACTTTTTACTGTAGTCACATTATTAGAAAAGTAAGTTTACATTGCTCTAAATTATTACAACCATAATTCTGTTACATACAAGTACCAGAACACCTGGTCGCTATATTGCTTCTTTTTTCTCTAATTACGATTATCTGTATAGCGCAATTGTGAAAGTAGACGCAGTTATATAAATGTGAGGTTTTTTTCGGGATTATTCGTTGGCGTATAGGCCCGAGGTCACTTAGTTGCCGATCTGGACCCACTGGGTATCATGCAAACAGAGCTGATACACTCACATTATGCAGCCCGCAAGGGGTCACCAGAACAAGTGCTGCGACAGTACATGCTTGGTAAGGCTTATCTTCCAAAGCATTTTCCACGGGCTTTTACTTTATCTTATTATAAACTTGCATTTTTTTTCTCCATGCGTGCCATACGTGCAAAAGGTGTATGAGATTCGCATTGTACTGGTTTGGAGTATGCGGTGTATATATACGTATACCATTTATAAATTACTCTATCCTTTTATTTTCTGCAATTTCACTTGTCGAGACATCTCTTCCCAATACATATTCAGTATTCATTTCATATAATCATTTTTACATATTAGCATCTTATTTTTATCACGCCGAAAAAAATTCTATTTTCAAAAATTTATTAATAATGGTTACAAAAATTACTTAATTGTATTTGAAACTTATAGTGTACAATTTTGAAGCACGATAATAAGACGTATGGAACGTATTTTAAAATTCTGTTCAAGTATTAAAATCAGAAAATTATAATTAATTTTTTTTATTTTTGAAATATATATTTTCTAAATTTTTTTTTACTTTCTGACGTTAAAATATAATTATATCGTTTTAACTATAGCTGGGAACATTATGATATAAAATATAATGTACTATATATAGTAAATGAAAGTGTTTAGTGAGGCTTATATCACGACAAATTTATACTGATACTGAAAATGTGTGAATAATTATTAAATTTATTTTGGGAATCAGAAATGATACGCCCCATTCTTTTATAATTGAATTGATAATTGAATCGGCTTTATAATTATTCGATAATCCGTACATATGTTTATATATTTATAAACTTGTTGAATCTAGTTTAACACTATGCGTTCATTGCGTTAAGGTTGAAGGTAAGAATAAAGAAATTTCTGTTGGCTTTGCATGTACGACTTATGTGTTATTATATGTGTTGGTTTGGATATTTACGTTTGTCATCTAGCATGCTTGTTATTATTATTTTTTCTTTTTATTTAATTTACACTAACATCTGATAAGAAAATGTTCGAGCAGATACTTTTGTTATCTTACAATTAAACAAAAAGTATCGCATGAAATATTAGTAATAGAGAAATTCTCAGGAGCAGATAACACACTCACAAATATAAATACTAAGACGTTTTAAAGCTTGATATTTTAATGTATTATAAATGTTAATTACTGTGAAATGATGTTTTCGATTAGAAAGTATAACGGTGACTTGCATCCGACCGACCGTGTATTGTTTCTGTTGCGATATACATACACAATTATTTTTATAGAAGAATAAAACATCAAGCACAGTAATTTGTGTCTTAACTGAATATATTTAAAACAAGAATTTGAAAACTATTTGGTTTGCATGAATGTGGCATTAAATTGACAGATTCGTGGCCATCATATCGCTAAATTGGACCCACTTGGCATCAACAGCGCTGATCTTGATGATAGGCATCCTCAAGAATTACTCTATACCCATTATTCATTCGGTAAGCTTAAATGAACGTGCGTAAACAGAAGAGAGAAAGTAAAATGTAAGAATCAGGTTTCGAGCAGTAATACAAACCAATTAATGCATTTGACGATTAGACTATCCAGTGATACTATCAACGATAAGTAATTTTATATATCATTGAGCAGATTTCTGAGTATTAATTATTCGTATAAGATCTATTTGCAGATTACTATTGCATCAAGCTACGTTCACTATTTGATGCAAATGCGAACAAAGTGAATGTCACATTCTTTCAAGTGATTTAAACACAAGAAAAGTGAAAGCTTTGCTTCGTGTTGTTAATTTTTTATATTAGCAATCTACTGATTAATTTCTTTATTATAATTCAGCATTCTTTAATATTTCATTTTTATAGCTTTTTCCATAATTCTACTTATTTTTTATTCTCACCCTGCGAACACAACACAATTGACTTATGCAAGCAATATCAATATGAATATTAATCGGAATGTACAACACATTTAATTATTAACAAGCTAGAAACTCTTGATTTAAATTTGATTGATTTCTTAAATTTTTCGACTTTTTTCATTGCAAAAAGTAATAAAAAGAATCTTTATAGAATGGTATTCGACTTGATTATTGAATTTGAGTCTGATGTCCACAGGGAAGAGACCACGCACTACTTTCTCGCAGGAATTCCAATACCAAGTAGCTGTTCTAATGCAAAGTATGTAATAATTGCCATCTAAATTGGGAATTTTCCCGCAAAGCTCTCTTTTACTTTGGCTAGTACATTACTGGGAGATGCTGGTACTGGTTTCGGGTATGCATATAGAATATAATAGTTTTCGGCTGAAAACCTGTGTAAGGGTGCTTGGGTTCTTCTATATAAACTCATATCTCTCGACTGTGTAAAAAGATTCACAAGCAAGAAATAGTTTTCAAACGTTTTCTGTGAAGGAATTAAAAGAAAGGTATTGGTACATCGATGTCATAAACGTTTTATTATGGCAAAACATTGATATTGATGTAAAGATTGTACAAAATTATAAATAGCTCTTGTTCCTTTTTTATTGCCAAATATTTTTTCTCCGCCATTCGATCATTGTGTTTACTATTTCAGTTTTCTATCCTGTGTTTTCTTTTCTTCTTTCTATCTTGCTGTGCTACTCACACTACATTTTGTATTTATACGATTTATTTGCAGTCCCTCTTGCATTATACCTTTCTATTTTTATTTCAAACATCGATGGTTGTTGTCTAAACCAACGGTGCTTTATTTGACTCACAAGTTTTTCTCTTTATTAGCGAATGATTTATGACATGTATTATTTTCTTTAAGTTTAGCGTTTGTTTGTGCTGTCACGCGTATTGTGATGTATTTTGTAGCTATCAATACACTCACATACCTCAGAAAATTATACTGCATGTTTACATTTCAGCAAATATTTTACATCGTGAATACGAAATTTACATTTCTACTGAAGGAATAATGCAATATATATTAAATATTATTGCTTATAATATATTAAATATTATTGTTTATAAAATATTAAATATTATTATTGTAAATATACGATATATATTAAATATTATTCCTTAAGTTAAAAAATTTGTATAATGGCATACAAATAATTAGACATTAGATTGTGCTCAAACCATAATTGATATAAAAAAATTGCATTTTTTACATTTTCAGTATCAGTTCTATATACAGAACAAACGAGAAAAAAAATACACATTTCAACAGTTCGATCTACATAATTACACTTTAATCATTTGCGCTAAACACTTTTTATTTATCAGCGCAATGGCTAGGATTATATTTATAGTTAAATATGTACTAAATAAATGCTGCAGTATCAAATATAGTTGAAATCATATCAAGTATAGCTTGCTCAGCAAAGAAATGCTTAGCATATTTAAATGTACTGAAATGTTTGCCTAAATTTGTGAACTGTAGCATTTAAACATGTCTTTTTTCATTAGCTCCGGAGTAATTGTATAAATAAACGCGTGTGTTTTATCCCGAATGCTTGAAACAGAGGAGTCAGACATGGATCGCGTTTTCAAATTGCCTTCCACCACATTTATCGGCGGCAAGGAAAAATCATTACCTCTACGCGAGATCTTGAAGCGACTTGAATCCGCTTACTGCGGCCATATCGGTGTTGAGTTTATGTTTATCAACTCCTTGGAACAATGCAACTGGATCAGGCAAAAGATGGAGACACCCGGCGTCATGGAAGTGACAAACGACGAGAAGAGGCTCATCTTGGCTAGATTGACGCGCGCCACCTGGTAATAATACAATCAGAATTCCAAAGATAATTTATAACTTTAAATACACAAATTTACAGGAAAGAGAAATCTTGCGTCTAGTTTTGTTTTTATTTTTTGTATATTTTATTTGTTTTTACAGCAAGTTTAAAATTGGTCAAATGATTATCTTTAAAAGAGATTGTAATAATTGTAGGCATTGCGTGACCTGGAAATCAGATTCTCAGTTTTAATCTCTGATTTAACAAGCTTTTAATTTGAAATGCAGGTTCGAGGCGTTCTTGGCGCGCAAATGGTCTTCGGAGAAGAGATTCGGTTTGGAGGGCTGCGAAATTCTGATTCCAGCCATGAAACAAGTAATCGATAAGTCCACGGAATTGGGAGTAGAATCGATTGTCATGGGTATGCCTCATCGTGGTCGTCTCAATGTTCTCGCTAATGTCTGTCGCAAGCCATTGAGCCAAATATTTACGCAATTCGCTGCTCTCGAAGCTGCCGATGATGTAAGCATAAAACAAGCGGTGCTTCTTAGCTATATAGAAAATACCATCGCAATTGCGTTGTCGATCTAGGAATCCTGATGATAAAATGATTTTAGGGCTCTGGCGATGTGAAATATCACTTGGGTACGTACATCGAGCGTCTTAATCGTGTAACGAACAAGAACATTCGACTCGCCGTGGTTGCAAACCCATCGCACTTGGAGGCTGTAGATCCAGTGGTTCAAGGCAAAACGCGCGCCGAGCAGTTCTACCGCGGCGACGGCGAAGGCAAAAAAGTAAGTTATGAATCAGGTTTTACCAATTTATTTTTTACTTTCATAGTTGGGTCGTTACATAATGCGACAGTGAACGAGTCTGTTCTAGGAAAAACGATTTAGAAATGCAGTCACAGATTAATCATTGGAGCCTTGAATTTTTATTTACGAATATTTAGAAATTTAGATTTAAATTTAAATCAGAATATTATTACATAGTATTAAATATTAATCAGATTATTATTATTGATTTGATTGCTCAATATGTCGCAACTGTAGAATTTTTATTACACTATTTTATGGACAACAATTTATTTCTGCAATTCATTCTAGGTAATGTCCATTCTTCTTCACGGAGACGCTGCGTTCTGCGGTCAGGGTATTGTCTTCGAAACAATGCATCTGTCTGACCTGCCTGATTACACCACTCATGGTACTATCCACATTGTCGTGAATAATCAAATTGGGTTTACCACAGACCCAAGGCATTCGCGATCATCGCCGTACTGCACAGGTTAGTGTTCGCGCAAACAATTTCATTCTTCAACGAATGTATTGACTAACGCAAGCCTATATTATTTATCAGATGTGGCTCGAGTGGTGAACGCACCCATCTTCCACGTGAACTCCGACGATCCCGAAGCTGTGATGCACGTGTGCAAAGTAGCGGCGGAATGGAGGGCCACCTTCCACAAGGACGTCGTGATCGACTTGGTTTCCTACAGACGCAATGGACACAATGAAATTGATGAACCGATGTTCACACAGCCTCTGATGTACCGCAAGATTAAGAATACGCCGCCAGCTCTCGATAAGTATGCGAACTCTCTCATTGCTGACGGCGTCGTAACGCCCGAGGAAGTTAAGGTACGAAAAACTACGCGCTTGACATATTTTATACTATTGTTTATGTACTAATGAATGGCTGTTTGATGTAGGATGTCAAAGATAAATACGAAAAGATCTGCGAAGAAGCGTATAACAATGCCAGACAGGAGACACACATTAAGTACAAGGACTGGTTGGACTCTCCGTGGTCTGGTTTCTTCGAAGGTAAGGATCCATTGAAGGTATCACCAACTGGTATCAAGGAAGATACACTTGTGCACATTGGAAAGAAATTGTCATCGCCACCACCGAATGCTGCTGAATTTGTCATTCATAAGGGTAAGCGATGTGAAAAATGAATACTAGGTTTATTCATATACTACTTTTCTTTATCATTAGACACTAAAATTTTATATTATAAAAATTTGTAGGCAATTTAGAATTTACATTTTCTTCACTGCGATGCATTAAAAATTATGTTTTAAATAAAGAAATAAAAGTACGTTTTACGCTTTAGAATATTATATCATATTATTTGGCAAAGAGAAGACTTAGAACTTTATTGCGATGCATTGAAATCTTATATTTTAGAATTCTAGACTATTTCTTTGTTTATAATATAAAATTTCAGTGCAGTAAAGTCCCAGGCCTACAAAATGATATAATCAGATTCTAAAGCATAAAAATGAATAAAATGTACTTTTTATACATATATATATATGTTAAAATCTTCTAGTAATAAAAAATTTAGATTATGTAAACATACAAAAATATGAGAATAAAATTTATACTTCAATTAATTCATAATTATAATATAAGAATTATTTTTAATACGTTTTACACACACACACAGGTATTGAACGTATCTTGAAATCTCGCATGGAAATGATCGAGGCCAGAACCGTTGATTGGGCTCTCGGCGAAGCTATGGCTTTCGGATCTCTCCTAAAGGAAGGTATCCACGTTCGTTTATCTGGTCAGGACGTTGAGCGAGGCACATTCTCGCATAGGCATCACGTGTTGCATCATCAAACTGTTGATAAGGCGACCTACAGACCACTTTGCTATCTGTATCCTGATCAGGCACCTTATACAGTATGCAACAGCTCTTTGTCTGAATTTGGTGTACTCGGTAAAATCGTGGTTCTTGATTCAATTATTGTCGCTCTATCGTTTTTTCTAACTTGTAGCTATTAAAACGATTTTATTTGCAGGATTTGAACTGGGCTACTCCATGACAAATCCGAATGCTTTAGTGTGCTGGGAAGCTCAGTTTGGAGATTTCAACAATACAGCGCAATGTATAATCGATCAATTCATCAGCAGCGGTCAAACTAAGTGGGTTAGGCAATCCGGTCTCGTCATGTTGCAGCCTCACGGTCTCGAAGGAATGGTAAATCCGCGGAATCAAGCTTGTGATTAAACTTAAATTATTTTTGCCGTGCAATATTTATTTGTTGACCTTTAATCTGCTTCTTTCTTAATATTAGGGTCCCGAGCACTCCAGTGCCCGCCTCGAGCGTTTCCTACAGATGTCCGCTGACGATCCGGATTACTTCCCCCCTGAAAGTGAAGAGTTCGCAGTTCGCCAATTACACGACAGCAACTGGATTGTCGCCAACTGCAGCACGCCGGCTAACTATTTCCACATTCTACGACGGCAGATTGCACTGCCGTTCAGAAAGCCGTTGATCCTAATGACACCGAAATCGCTGCTCCGTCATCCAGAGGCTAAATCCAACTTTGACTTGATGCTGGAGGACACACAGTTCCTCAGAGTGATACCAGAGGAGGGCGTGGCTGCTCAGAATCCCGACAGTGTCAAGAGAGTGCTGTTCTGCTCCGGAAAGGTTTACTATGACATTAAGAAAGCTCGCACGGAACGAAAATTGGAAGACAAGATCGCGATCGCCAGAGTGGAACAGGTCAGTCGTAAATTTCTTTTAATCTTGATTATTAAAAAGGGTGTGTTAAAAAATAATTATATATAAATATGTTCTAGAAATATTTTTGGTACTAATCGAATTTTTTTATTTTATTACAGATCTCGCCCTTCCCTTATGATCTCGTTAAGAAGGAGGCAGCTAAGTATCCCAATGCGGAATTAGTGTGGGCTCAGGAGGAACACAAGAACCAAGGCGCGTGGACCTATGTGCAGCCTAGGTTCCACACAGCACTCAACGGCGTCCGAAACGTACTGTAAGTATCGATATAAAGTCAACATATTAATTATAACAATACTGATTATAATTGTATGAAAGTAAAATGTATGTATGTGTGTGAATGCACTCGTGTTCATTATGTTGCGCTTTGCTTTTTATATCTCTTCACACGGCCCACGTTTTTCATTTTGTCGCGATGATACCGTGAGGTATTCGCGACGCATCAAAATTTCGATATACATGCACCATGCATTTTTTTTTATTTTTTTTTTTTCTATCATTATAAATTGTTATACAGATACCTTTCTCGTTTTATATATTCTATAAGAATAAAAGATCTATAAAATGAAAGATCTGGGCCGTGTGTTGCAGTCGTGCGTCAGAGACGAATGAGAGTGGTCGAGGGTGGTTTGCCGGTTTGCTTTCGTCATCCAAACCGACCAAAACCACAACAGTATCAGAGCCACAGTCAACGGAATCTGCTGAATCTGCTGAATCTGCTGAACCGAAACAGAGAATAGTGAGGTAATGTCGGGGCAATATCTCCGATTTTGTCAAAAAATTATATTGCAAAGAAATTTCCATTTTGATGTGAATTGATATGCAAGCTGTTTATATCGAAAGAGAATGGATGTGGATAAAATATCAATTTTTTTAATTATTTCTATTTATAATTATTTGATTCTTATTTAATATTTCTGTATTTTAATATTTTATATTTTCTTGTTTATAATTTCAAAGCAGTTTTCTTCTTTTCAGTAGATATCGTTGACCAGTATTGATAGCTGTAAATGTTTTGTTTCTTAAATAAGCGAGCCATATTGTGTAAGGAAACAATATTGATATTTCAGATATGCTGGACGACCCACTGCATCGTCGCCCTCCACCGGCAGCAAAATGCAGCACCTCAAAGAGCTCAAGCAACTGCTCGACGACTCCCTCAATCTTTAATGATCCCTCATAGCGTTATATGTAGAATTGAAAGTTTATTTATTTTTCTCATATCTCAATGTATCTGTTACATTACATCTTTGTGCTCTTCTCGACGTAGATTACACAACAGAGACAACACTGTAGTTGTTTAAACAATTTCTTCACAATAGCATCTTTTACGTTTAAATGCGCACGAATGTTTCATGCTCGTTCGTCCGAAATGCATTCTTTCTTTTTTTATTGGGAGGATTTATGTACATAAGATAAGTGCCACGGGTTCAGAAATTCAAGTAGTTGAAGATTAACTGTTGGTTCAATGGTGGTCGGTCTATTACTCTTGAAATAATTCGTTCCTATGTGCATTTTGTTTTTTTATTTATACTTAAAAGTGTAGTTTGCATTTTACATTTTTTTTTTAGTAGTACGCTCTGCTCAAGTGCTCTTGGTGTATCAAATTTATATTTTAATATATCTTTATGACGAACAAGACTAGTCCGCTGATTAATGTGAATATGAAATATTCGTGCGTCAATCATCCTCTGTACTTCATTTTGTTTGTACTTTATTCTAAATTAATTTAATAATATGATGTGAAAAGGGAAAGTATTATTAATTTATGCAATGTACACAGCGCGTAGCATTTTGACGCGTGGCAACGATCCCGAAATACACTCCCGACCGAAGAAACTGTCCATGGCAAAGGGCTATGAAGTATACATGGTAGATTATTTTCTTCTAATTTATTGATATACCATGAAAAAACGGTTGCCAATCACTTTAACTTTTTATCGTCGCTGTATTCTTATAAAAAATTAAATGATTGGCGGTTATACAGCATTTTCTCAATACAGACGTTTGATGTAGCACTATTCCTTGAGCGCTGTATCTCGCGGCCTTGGTTGCGCCCGCATGATGATCGAGTACACACCGATGTGTGTCCGAGTTTGCAATTTTCACTGCAAAGCGTGTCACGATCGAGGCCTTAGTGCTACCCCGTGGACAGTGTCGGCGTACACTTCGGCTCGGTGACGAGTGTTGAGAGTAGAAGACAAATTTAGTAATATTTAGTAGTATTTAGAAGATAATTTTAATGATAATTTAGCCGGGGCAGCCATGGCTCGTGTAAGCCGCTGCGTAGTGTACGAAGGTGCATACATGTACACAGTATTTATATTCTTCTATCTGTATTTAAAGATGGGACGCACGAACGAAGAGATTTTGAGAAGAAAACATTGCTACGTGTTTTACCGCAAGAAAGTACGTATCGTGGTATACGTTTTGTATGCCGGGGAGAGCGATGAGAAAGCAGTCTTATTATTTTACTGGATGCATATGAAACTGGATGGTTATGTGATATATCTCGTGATTTAGCGCGATATTATTTTTAGACAATTCGAAACCGCAATACCTACCTACCTATCGTTCCACACTTATCCTCTTTATTCGTTGTATCATCATATGTGTAGTGTAATAATAATACGAGCGCACGTGTGCGAATGCTAAAAAAAAACAAAAAAAAAACATTTCTTTCCTCAGATGAGTGATGTCTGACGCTTTAAAATTTTATTTAACAAAAAAAAATCACTGATATTAACACTCGATATTGTAGCATTTTATTGCTGATTAAATTAAATCTTTATTGTCTCAGGTGTCTGGTGCAATGTTTTCCCTGATACACTCGGTCGGTCCCCTGGAAAATAATTGGAAAAGAAGACATAGCTACTGCTTACGTGCTTTGGGAATTTTTCAGAGAGCATTAAGATTATTATATATACAATACTTAATTTATTCACATTTGCGAGTTTCTGCCATATTCATGTTGCGTGATAATTGCAAAGTATAATATACAAAAGTACGATCGTGTAAAAGACCGATTCCATAAATTTCGACGGCGAACTTTAGGGAGACGGAAGAAAACTCGACGTATTTTTGTGAAAATTAATTTTTCATTGTGCGTAACGTTAAAAGTATAATACAGTGTGTAAATAGATCGTCAAAAAATAGATACATCGAGATGCGGAGAAAGGGGAAGTAAGCTATCTTAGTGCAGGCTAGCAAAAATATTAATCTCGAGTAGAATAAGATTGCAAGCCACGTAAATTAACGACGCGTTTTTAAAATAAACTATTATTACTATGCTTAAGAGATACACAGCATTGTTTTTATCGGGTAAGCGGTGAATGTCGAGTACATTTCGTCAATTCCGTACTCTTTTTGCATATGCATTTAATAAGCACGCTTCTCTAACAATGTGTAATTCAATTCGACCGCTAAAGAATCGCAATCAGAAGATTTCTGCTCGACGCTCGACATTCGTTTCATGCGCATTTTGTTTTTTTTTTGTGCGTGGTACAATAAATAAAATATAGATTTTATTTAACATTAAGTAAATGGTAGTATTTTTAGCGTCAGTTCGGTTTCAATAATCGGTCTGTCCCAGCACGCTGTACATGATCCTCTTGAAGCTGTTGCTCTGATGGATCTTCTCCCCGTCGTCGTCGAGCACGTTCACCTGAAAATTCAACCGTCAACAGCTGTTCCACGTTTACAAATTTCGAATGCACGTTTTAATTTTATCACACGCATGCATGGATTGTCCATGGCAACTTAATGCGCGTTATATGTAAAAAGAGATAGCACATTCGCCCTATAAATTAAATTGATAAATTTCTCTAGGAAAGCAGGCGAGCACCTTATGCAAAAGTAACAGTAAATGCACGTACAAGTTCCCGCAGAACGGAATATTTTAATAGTCGCTGAAATCCTTAACGAAAGGGAGGGGGAAGGGACGTCTATATGATCCACCCTTAACGAAACAGAGGTCGAAAATTAGATTAGACACGTCTTCGACCGTGACAATTAACTGATAGATCCAGGATGACAATTAAAGTTAATAATGATAATGCATATATTGACGTTAATGCGAAAGTAATGAATAATCGACTGATTCTGTATATAATTTTTTTGTAGGTTTGAAGAAGGCGCGAATGTAACTGATCTTTGCAGAATTTTTCGATGGTGAAGTGCGGCGATTATTATTGAGAGATGGTTTGGCACGCCACTTTGCTAGACAAAAAAGAAAGAAGTACAAGAGGAGTAGCGCACCGTGCCAAGTCGCTTATATAATCCGCTGCCGTTTTATCGTCCAGTTGTGTTTGGTAAAATTATAGAACATACGGAACTGGTCCGAGAAGTGGATAAATCTTTCCGGTAAATAAATAGCAAACAAATAACATGGTAATAAAAATATAAGTAACAAGAGTCGATCATTAAGTTGTCTTAGAGATATGTTCTTAAAGCTAAATTTTTTAAATATATACTTTTTTTACAATATATTTTTTTTACAGAATAAATGATACAAAAATTCGCATGAGAATACAAAATATTTTAAATTCAGCTTGGACAATGCAGTTTATGCAGTAGCAGAACGTCTTAGAAATTCTCGCATGCAATCCATGCGATGGCGTGCGAGCGAGAAATGCGTATATCAGCCTGCTAATATTTTGTTCGTTGATTTAAGCTAATTAATAAGTTGAATGGAACAAATACTAATACTTACGTATGCAGGACTTTTTGGAGGTGTCTGGTATACCTGTACAACAAATATATCGTTTAATATACAGGATTTAGATATATTTAATGAATATAAAATTTATAAAACAAGGTATCGAATGATTACAAAGAGACTGTAAGGACATACTTTGTTTGATTTCTGCGGCGAAAAGACGCCGGTGCGAACCGGCTGCCTGACTTCCTGCACCTGGTCCCCGTATTCCTCCTCTTGCAGGGCCTTGTACGCCTCGCTCTTACTCGGGTCGTATTTCATCGGCTTCTTCAGACTGCACGTATCGCATGTGTACACAGGTACAACTTTTAATTTTATTTCCATTCTTTCTCTCTCTCTGATTCGTGTGACTTTTATCTTTTTTTTTTCTATCTGGATCGGTTAGCAGCGGCCAGGGTTACGATTTGCCAATTTGGAATTGCATATCTATTTTGCTTTAGTCTGAGTTCGAGAGCGACTTTCAGACGCGTCCTCCAGCCGAGTTTAATCGAGAGAGAGCGATCGTTCCTCATCGTGCAAACTCTGCGCTCGATCAAGAAGAACGCATTCGTCGAACACTTTGAAAATTACGCCTTTTTGAGAAAAATATTTTTCAAAAATAGATTACAAAATATTTTTATCTATCTAATAATAAGATCGTAAAACCGCAGAAGAAAATCTAAGATTTTTGAAGGAACGCATTTTTAATCTATGATAAAAATGGTTTTTTTTCTCAGAGAATTTTTATACAAAATATTCTTGTTGTATATTTATATGAAAGGATTAAGTATATTAATCGCGATGAGAGAAAAATACTATAAAATATACTTTTGTCATTTGATACAACATATAATACGTAATTTTCGAAAAGTGTCATTTAAAAAGTAATAAAATAAATTTACAAAGGCGTAATTTTCGAGTCATCTCGAGTTATTCGTGCACGGTATCTACGATGCAAGCATACGAACACTTATTAAGGAAACGACGAAGTTAGTAGATACTTTCATGTATTCTTAACTACTGTATTGATTATTGATTATTCACTACTCTATCACATGCAACAGTATATTGCTATCGCTAAAGAAAAAGCTTTTTACGCGGATTCGCGAAAGCGTTGCGAAACTTTCAAGTTCGCTAAATAACGCGCCTACGATTCTCACTATGTAATATGAACAGCAAACTAATACGAAATAAATAATGATCGCAAAGATTTGGAATTCAGTGGCCACGTTCACGATATCATAATTTAATTAAATTAACTGTTTTAATTAATCAGTAACATAATTAGAATATTAATATTAAAAAAAGAATTTTTTGAAATGATTGACTAACTTAATTCTGAGATTTTAATATAGACAGTGCCGCGAAGTATCGACTTTTAAAAATGAATAACAGAATATTTTTTTAGTGATTTCCCATATTAGTAATTTTCTATAAATTAATTTAGTATTTTTTTCTAATTGAATCCTACAGCAAATTGCTTTATCAATTTAGTAACAATTTGTAGATAAGTTTATGATTTGCTATACTTTGGTAACAAAAGGAACGTGTCCAATGACCCTGAAAACCGGAAAACTCTGCCGTCGTAGATCCGATCAATGCGAGAAGCATCGGAAAACGTCTCGAACGTCTCTCGATAATTTTTAATTTGGCTTATTGAATTGCGGCCACACGTTCTTCGAGGAGGCGGCCTTGGCCTGCTCCTTCAAGATTCTCGCTTGCTGCTGTATTTCCTGTTTCTGTTTCAGGAAGGAAAAGTCTATGAAAATGCTGGAAAACAAACAAACCGCTACGTAAGTAATCAGTCATCAGAAGGATCCGAGAGCCGTAAGGAAAAAGAAAGAAGGATTGAGCCGACGTCCCTTCTCTTTTTAACGATCGAAGACCGACGATCGCACATCCTCAAACTAATGTAAGTAAGCTCGATTTAATTTTCAAATTGGTAATTTTTTTCGGAATTAACTAGAAATATATATCCTGTGTCGAAAAAAATAATTTCTCTTTCTCGTTCGCGCTTCGCAAATCTCTAAAATCTCAGAAAATTATATTTGAAACTCATTAACACTTCACAAATTATTTATTTGATTAAAAGGCACGTCTATAAAAAATAAATTAATTAATAGACATCAATAAAAATTTATTCTCGGAGATAGATTTCGAGCATTATTTCCCAAAATAAATTGTTATCGATTTCTACAAATATATTCACTTTTTATGGCGTCTGAATTAACATTGTTAATTTCAATTAATATAAAAAATTCGACTTTTTACACGAGCAATTTGTATTAAACGTGACAGCGATTTGTGAGAGTGTGAGCAGCATTCAGCGGAAAAGCCAATATTTTATTAATTGTATTACCCTGTGACTGTGCTGCAAGCTTCACGGCACATTAGCGATTCGTTAAACATATGTATATGTATATATATATATTGTATAATTTGGTATAAATTGTTAAAAAGGCTAGTTAAAAGAATTTAGTAAACAATCGTAAATAACAATGAAATACTTACGGTATGGCAGATGCTTGGCACTTGATGGTGTCCGCGATATTTTGCTCTGAATACAGTCCGATCGGCGAGTTGAATTGCTTGTGGACAATCTGAAAACGTCAAATTTGCGTTTATAATCGATGCAATGCAAAATTCACGCTATTATTGTATCACACAAAAAACTTGAAAATATATTCCCTTCTTATTTTGTAAGTAAAAGCATAAGTAGAATTTATCTTGGGAATTCTTTGGTTCTTAATTTGTAAAATCTTTGTTTAGAAAATGTAATAAAAATTTGAAGAAAGGCGCTGGATTAGCGCATAAATAGTTTGAAACTTTTGCACGGTGCAGGCGAAGTATTAATATCGCGCTATTAATATAAATGCTTACTGAAAATATTGCGTATTATTATCGCAATCTGTCATCAAGTCGTGTCATTTGCGACCGTGTTACGTTGCAGCATGACAATGCAGCCTTTCAAAAAATAAGCATTTAATATGTTGGCACCGAATGCAACAACATTTGACAGTGCCAAATTTCTGTTATATCAGAAAGTCGCGATATTAACACTAAGTTCATATTTATTCTGCTCTTTTTACGCGATTCTTTTGCGCCTGATAGTAGTGATCGTACTTTTAAATTGATCATCCAAAGTTTCAGATTTCGAACCACATTAGTGAAAATCAGTGATCACAGCAATATATTTGCCTGCAAATAAATGTTATTCAAAGTAAAAAGTAAAATCACATTAATAATTTAACTTTAAATTTTATTAAAATAAGTCAATTATGTTATTATAATGATTTAATCAATAGGAATTTACGCAAGCTGTATCGATCAGCAGGTATTATTTCGGATTATCGAGTCACAGACGAGTCCAGGATATTTTATATTAATTCACATCCTAAAATAATTACACTAATGTCGTATATATCATCGATTATTATTATTAGTTATTATTAGTTAGCGAAAAATCGTGATAGCAGAGATCTCGTCAAAGAAACTTTCGCAAACTCAAATTTCCTCCAGATATCGGGGATCCAAAAAGCGCAAGCGTCGTTTCTCGAAGCAGAAGCGATTTATAAAAAGGAAACAACGGAAGTGATTCAAACCTTTGGAACTTCATTCGGTCCCACGACACGCTGAAGTACCGTTTCGGCCACCTGCTCAGACGACGTTTAATGAGACAGATATATCATTTAAATGAAGGGATACGATTGAGATCACGAATCGACAAACATGGCTCTAGAAAATTGAAATTTACTTCCGACTGCGCAGCCGAGGACGGTGAGAATATAATGAATGATAACTCTTTAATAACCGAATTACCTTTTGCTTCATAGCGACTTCAGGATGATACGGCTCGTAATGATGGGGTGCCGCTCTGATCATCGGATTTGGATGATGTCGCAGGTAGCATTCGCCGAGAGGAGCATCCTTCTTCACCTTGGCACCTGGCAGGACCAAAGGAGTCGTGCGATACGGCTGAAAGAGCGATTGAACATGAATGAATGCCAGCGAAAGAAGAGTTAGGTAATAAATTGCATCACGATCATAATATATTTCTATCAATAGAATGTATTTCGTTATTTTGATATTAACGTTATTATTTTATTTGGTACATTTATATTTTGGTATATTTAATTATATTTTTTTAATCTTATATAAAACAAGATTATTGTATATGTGTTGACATAACTTTTATAGATGAATGAGAGAGTAGGAGGAACTATGAGACAATATCCTGCCGAAGCGGTGCCAATTAGTTAACGAGATTTAAAATAAACCGTAATAGAGGCCATGGCTATCGAAAGATGGTTCGTTAATCCCTGGCGCTCTTTATGTCGTCATAATTTCATGCAACGACAAGAATAAATCGATGATGATGATATTGTAACCTAATTTGATATTGATATCGATCTCGTTTCGTAATATCATTAGGTATTCTCTCGGCTAAAAATGGTACGTTAATTAGTTGATTAAATAATAGTCATCTGAAAAATATTGTCTATATTATAATATTAATAAAAACCTGCAGCCTTTTTATATGACAAAATCTGACTAAATTTATGTTTTCAGGGCGAGAAGAAAGGATTTCTATCCAAGAACTTGTATTCAAATTATGCGATCAGTTTCTATTTTTTTGAAAGAATTGTAAGGGACTGTACCGGAAGTGATACCGTCCAAAAAAGTTATAATTCCGCCCAGCTGGCTCACAATGCGGAACTTACATAAAGCGACAATCATGTTCACATTACGAACGAATTTGCCTTGGCAAGTTACGGATCGTTACGTCATATGCCGTCACTTTTGCGGAAAATTACGAAATTACGCGATTCTACAGATATATCATGCATAATTGATTCGTCATGCGAATTTCCTATGTTTAAGTTGCCGAAACATTTGCGAAAACAAACACATCGCAAGACATGAGGTAAGCTCTCTCTAATATTCCGTCATCGCGCAATTATCATAGATATTTTGGTGATTTTGCGTGTTGAAATCAAACTTGAAAAAAAAAAATGCGAGGCACAATTTTCGCAACATTTGAGAAAAACTGCAAATAAAACCTTCCGCGAAATTCTCTCATATTACTTCTCGCGTAAACGCCTCGCTAAAATAGCCACTTTTCGAAGGGCAGCTTGACATTTCATTCGTGACGACGTTGTTGGCCTCGAAATTATTACGCATTGAAGTTTGCGAAGCAAAATAGAAAAACACTAAATACATTGACATCATGTGTCTATGACAAAATTTTCTCGCATTTTTTCTTTTACAAAATCTTAATTCTTGAGTCAAATGTAAAAAAATTTCTCCTGTGGAGAAATTCGCTACTTTTTAACGGATATAAATTATTGTCCGACCATTGCCATTCGCCGGCACGCCGCTATGATTTACAATTTTAGAACCGCGGTCTCGGTCGCGGCAAGTTCGCGCGCGAGTTTCGCGTTTCTCATCCGCAGCGTGAAATCGCGCGATTACGATGATTCCATTATAAATGGGTCAGAAACGTCATTATGTTAGAGGGTGAGCTGCGAGTGATTCTCTCGAAATAGATGAAGGCCCGGCCGGCAAAAATAACGCGCACTCCGAACCGCGTACAGAATCGACTGTTCTCTCGCGTCTTTCGTCCGTTTTCTTTTCGTTTGCGATCTTTTCACTAGGAAGTGTCTCGTCCGCGGGACGGGAAACGCCTCTTGTTGAAACGTTTACAAGGTCGCATAGCGACTGAGAAGGGAGCAATAGCAAGGGCAAGATCGTAAAATCGAAAGATCATTTTCTTCTTCCAATGACATGTACCTGTATTTTGAATTGAAAGAATTGAATCTTGAAAAAATCATTTGATCCAAAGAAAGTAATTAACGTGTAGAAATATTTCATCATCTCGCCTCCGAAATTGTCAGTTATCGTAAAAAAATATGATTTTTTAAATGCAATTTTTTGTAATTTAAAATATGAAACAATAAAAATATTTGCAGCGATTAATATTTCTAGATTAAATTGGCTTTCGTCCAAAAGTAATAGAACAATAATTGTTAACGCGCTAATTTTAATTGATTGGATTATCAAGCTCGATTGAAATCTTTATTTAAAGATCTATGATTTTTTTTCCTTTTCTTTTTTAGAACATTTTCACGAGAGTCACACTCGTTTGTACGTCGTTTTGTAAAAGGTCTCTCGAACTAAATTCAGACGGAGCAAAACAGCTGTTTCGCAGAGTGTTTATTGCTTGGCGACGGTGTCGAGATGAAACTTGAACTCTTTGGAAATTGATTGGAACATGTTGGCAAAAGGTAACGAATAAATATTTTTACTTCATTAACCACACAATATGCAAACATAAAATTATGATAAAATTAATTCCGTAATCAAAAAAAAAGAATCGAAAGTGAATTCAAAATAATTATATCGCCGGTTAGTTTCTCCCAAGCGTTATTCGACGAACAGAATCAAGAAAATGTCCTTAATTCTGGCACGCGCTAATCAGCTGTTAATTGAACAACGTCTTTCTGATCCTGCGAACATTTTTCGATTTTTACTCGGATAGGAGAATTCAAAAAACACAGAACGTGGGTGTATTTTTATATGACGGCCGCTCATGTTTCTGAGTAACCCAGATCCCGTTCACGAAAATAGAATACGATACTGATGAACGGCATCTGCAATGCCCACGATTGCGTTTCATTGCATCGTTATTAATGCGAATTGCGTTCGCGCGATTTTGCCTTTCATCTCGACGACTGCAGCTGTTATCCCGTGAAAACTATCGCACCCTCCTTGGGATTTCCAGAGAAGAAAACGCGAAATTAATTAAGCTCTTCTCGAATGACCAAATGCAATCACGCTTGCATACCGTGTGAAAGTTAAGCGACGCGAAATCTAGATCGCTCGGTAATCTTATTATTCGATGTTGTTATTCGATATTGACGCGTCGGAGCTAAACTCGTGTGTCGTTATTGAGTTTTGGTATTTTTAGGGTGACCCGGCGACATAGTTAGACTCGTGCGTTATGGTTGTTACATCCTAGCGTGCCCACGCATAAATGCCATTCAGGCGAAAAACAAAAAAAGTTTTGTAGAACTATTAAACATAATTTGAAAATTTATCTTTACATCTTAAAGACGGATTGGAAGATAAATCTCCTTATAGCTTTTCTTACAATATAAATCGATTTTCAGAAAACATCAGATGATCAACGCTTCGGAGATTAATTAAAACATTTCTAAAGGACATTTTTAAAAACCGTCTCGAAGCCACAAAAATAGAAGTCCGAAAATGCAATATGACTTAGCTCCGATCTACTGACATTCTCGTGTCGGAAAAATTTCCCATGGGATCGAAAAATTTGACATATCCTTCAGGCACCGCCACGATAGTTCCAACGTACGATAATGATTTTCGGCACGCAATATTTGCTCGCACATTTTGGCCGCGTTCACGAGGAATGTGCACGTTCAAGGGCGAGACTCGTCTCGCGGTTCGACGCGGTCGACACGTTTTCGCTCGCTCGCTGCTTTTCCTCTCTTTAATGTTTTTCCTCGCTTAGCCTAATAAACCGACTAGATTTCTCGCCTCTTTCGTACCCAATAAACAGCCGCCTCCTCCTCCTTCGGCTGATGCTCGATGTTGTAACGATAGACGGTCGTATAAGCGGGCATCTTCTCGTCTCGTCCGTCGAGAGGCGACCCGCGAAAGCTTCCCTCGCAACACCTACTTCCGGGCTTTTGTCAAGCTTTTCTCGCGCGGCACCCTTTGCGGCCTCTCTCGCAATCGCTTACACGTCGTCCCTCGCTCGCGACTCTCGCGGGATTATTCGCGCTAAAGCACTACTGGCTCGGCGCGAGCGCGGGCGGCACTAACTCTGGCCTTTTCCACGCGGCTCCTCTCTCTCTCTCCCGGAGATCGCTCTCGAACACGCTTGCTTGCTCTCATTTCTAAGCAAAGCTCTTAACACCGGAAGATCGTCAGAGGCGATCACGAACGAATCGTCCAGTTGAAAAACCAAATCGTCAAGATTGCAAAGTTGAATTCTTTCGAGAGACAAATTAGGACGTAAATGTATATTAAGTGAAAACTGATGCTTCTGTCATACTTATCTGGTTTCTCAAATAATTAATTACATTCCTGATCAAACGTTAAATTATACTTCAATTCAATCTTGATATTTGGAATAGTTTCGTTATTATTTTCTTGGTATATGAATCTTCCTAATATAAAATTGCTCTCGATAATGATTGTATTTATTATTAATACTTATTAATACTTATAGCTTCTAGAGTTTCTTACAAATTGATTATTGCTCCGACATGACAAATTGGCAGATCTCGAAGATCAGAAATTCTACGGAAAGTATTTTCCTTGGCAGTGGAATTTCGCGATGAGATCACCGGGAAAGTCGCTCTAACATGCAAATTTCAATTGCCAAGATGTAGCGATAAACGTTTCGCTTTCTCTGTTTAACTCATTAAACGCTACATAAGATGTGCGGCGCATTTTTTTTCAACTAAAAGTTTCAAATATTCAATATTTATATTTTTTTAAAGAGCACATGTTTAGATTTTTTAACTCAAATCAAGAAGCAAGATTAATCTCTGGTTCTGTTTCGTGCCATTTTAGAAAAGAAAAAACAAAATTAATTATTTCTAATTTACATATCTCTTCTTGCAGATATTATTTTATCTGAAATGAAGAAGGAGAAGGCGCTTGTTTACATTATAACTCTGGATCGCAGCGAATTAAATTCACAGCAAATAACGAGGTAAGTGTATAGAAAACGTCCTGAATCCGCGGGACGTATCGGATCGGTGCAGGCAGAGGTTTCGATGCAAAAGCGATATTTATAGCATGTGGCCAACCGGTGGCGACGGACTTTCCGGCATCGTGGCGGGCCAACAAAAATATATTCACACTTCGGACTTCCCACGAATAAAGGCACCTTCGTGCTTTCGCTAGCCGCAGCGACGCACGATGCACCCTGCTGCCGCCGCCGTTGCAGCTGGCGGCGAGTGGTGCAATATGCGATCGCGCAATGAACACGAGGACACGCTTCTTTCCAAAGTCTTGTCGGTATCGCTGTCGCAAAACGTACGGCATTCTGTTAAAACGACGAGAGACATCTAGATGCGAAATTGCGATATTGCAAATCGTCGCTATCGTCGTTAAAATCGCTGATGAAAATGTGTTCGTTTTATCTGCCTCTGTAAATCAATCAAATTATTAATGATGAAAACGTTAACTTTAATTACAACCGTTAAATGTCCTAAGCAAAATCTACAATAGATTTCTCCAATTATTCATTATGAACATTGTATTCTTTTTTTTTTTAGTTAGATCTCTGTAGAGCTTTGTTGACTTTGTGTGAATTGCTTTTATGCAGAGAAAACATTTTCTTCGAAGAAATTTTACTAAATGAAGTTGTTGCTGTGTAGACTACACTTTTAACGATTCACATGTAAAGATTTTTGTTTGTATATTATCTTATAAATCGATCTGTTTCTTGTAAAATTTTTTATGCGCACCAGTTATAGATTGTCAGGCGTGATCATTATATATCGAACTAAAATTTTGTCGGCTTAAATAAAACGTTTCGGAATAGGCGGAACGAATTAAACGCGACAAATGTCTTGTCACACTATACCAGTAGCATGATCCGACAATGAATTATTGGATTTCAAAGTGCAAGAGGGTATTTCGGAACAGGCTCGAGCGTGCCAGACGCCGCGATCATGCGGACTTGAGAAATCAGAGTACACACGTTTCCTATTACGACAATTTACGCCTTTAATAGAGCCGTATCTATATTTATTTTACAGCATACCTTAATGTACTTTTTCAAATTTCATTTCTCCACAAAACAAAGTTGCATATGTTGCGAGTTAGTTATTATAAATATTTTGAGGGATGCAATCTGGGCATACTATTCCTATTTTAATGCGTTTGAATCTGAATTGTTTACTTGCAAGAAGAAAGAGAAGAAAAATAGGCGCAAAAACAATTCTGTTATGTTGACTTATGCAATTGTGCGCGATTTTTGGCCACATCCCACTAGAAAATCCCCGTGAAGCATCGGGAAGTAAATAAAACGAAAAATCACACCAGCTTATGGCGCCAGTGACAAGTATAAGAAATTACGTCGAGACAGTTCTATACTTAGTATTTGCATTTGACGTTTGCTTGCACAATTTAGCACGAAGTTGTCAATCAGAGCTAAACAACATCGGCGCCGGTCGATATTGCATGCATTATTTTTCCAACATATGATTTTCCTTTTCTTAATAATTATTCGATTTATTACTAATTTAATATTGAATAAATTTTAACGATAAAGTTTCTTTTAGATCAAATTTGTTTGAATATTTCAAAATTCAAAATATTATTTCTTAGCGCACGTAGAATCGAAATGTGTATAGATTAAAGAACGATTGGCCTAAGAAACGTTTGAATATTTTTCAACAACAACGCCGTATCAGCTATCCAAACTGTTTCGATCTGATCGAGGAATAAATACCAACGTCGGGCCTTGATTTATGCGATGAAACAAAGCGAACTACTTCGCGCAGATCAACGAACTCTCCAGCGAGGTTCGCATTGTCAACATGTGTGTGGAAGTTCGATTTCAATCTATTTCAGAGACTAAATACATTTTCGTGTTGAATCTTGAAATTGTTCTCATAATGGATCGATTTAGCGCTGGATCTAAACAAATCCAGTATATATACAGAGTCAAACAGTCGAAGAAGTAATTAAGATTTTGCTTAAGACACAAAATCTTGAAAAGTCGGCTAGAAATTAAACTCTTTTCGCATTTTATTTTATAAAACCCCAATTTTTGTTAAAATTAAATTGTATGTTGCATCCTATTTCCATTTAAACGTTTTCTTGCGTTTGAAATAAATACCTGCGACAGATGAACTCTCTCCTCGCGGATCTCGTCGCGATGTTCGTGCGGCAAAAGAAGCGTGCTGCGAAGAGTGTAGTCGGAAGTCGGCGAAATCGGTATCGGCGTTGATATGTATTCCTCGGCCGAGGGCGGCGGTATCGGACTTTTCGGCAATTCTGGCGGATATTCCTGCTGTTGTTTGTATCTATAGGAAAAAATACGGTATTAGTTAAAAAATACAGTATTTCGCGCATTTGTATAAACTGCAGCAGAATGCAAAAAGCTGTGCGGCAGTTTCTCGACAATCGCCTTTAAGTGCATGAAAAAAAATTTATATTTCGATAAAAAATACGATTAAGTACAAGTTTAACAGAATATAAGAGAAATTTAAGAAAAAGCTGAGTCTGTAGTAGAAAGCATTAGGATAACGTTAGGAACAGGCAAAAAACTGTAATTTTTGAAAAAAAAGAAGAAAAACAAAGATTAGAGATTCCAATCCAAGATATGAAAATAAATACTGGGACAAAATATGTTAATTAATCACACATACAGTGAGCAATTTTATATTCGATAAAAATTGACATCTCACACTTTGCAATAGAAATTAGCATCTTGAATCTTATATATTCAAAGAAAATATTTATGAGAAAGAGTTAAAGGCAATCGTCGGGAGAGACAGTGAGAGATAGTACTGTGATAGATTTCAAATAGCGATCGAAAGTGTCAATTGTGCTTTGTGCAAAGAAACTGATTAATCGAGAAAGTGAATTAATCGGTGACATTACGCAGCGGCGTGGGCGGGTGCGATATTGCGGCGGCAACGATATCATTGCGGCGGCATTGCCAAAAATATAGTAATAGTGATAGTATTGCATTCTGACAGACTAGTGACCGCAGCCCCGTCGCCGAAGACCGACTTGAAAACCGTGCGTGGTGTGGTAGTGTCGGTACGTGATGATGTTACGGTACTCGCAGACCTTTCGACGACTAGCTTTATGGTTTCGGAGTTTTGGAGGAGATTCTGTGCGTCTACATGCCTCACGTCGCGCGTGTCGTATTCCTCAATCTTCTTGATCACGTCACCCTTCTGGAGCGCCTCGTTCTCCGACTGCAGACAGAAATTGAATCCGGTCTTAATAACAACGATCATCGATATTGTTAGCATTACGAATATTTATTGTCGCTTATCGAAAAACTTCTTGGCGTGTAGAACGTCGTGAAAGATTATCTGAAGATTTTGAACACCCCCGAAAATATCTACGCGATAAAAAATAAACGCTTCTTAAAAGTTTACGTTTCGAAGAAAAATTGTAAGATATTAATTTGGCGCAGATGCATTCTTGTAAACAAAAGAAATTAATGGATTCAAAAGAAATGAGTCATAAAGCTGAATAAAGGAGACTGTTAAATATTGTAGGATAAATTGCGACATAAATGAAGGCAAAACTATAATAAAATAGGGACAGGACAGGCAAAAGATAAAACTCAGGCAGAGAGAGAAAGAGCTAAATCTGAATTCTACATCTCTCGATTGTGCAATATTATAATCGAACACGTGAAAAGGCGCTGAGTTATTTTGTCGAATCGCGTTTCGCGTGAGCTTAGTGGCGCACTGTATGTAATGCATCACGATGCATCGTATCGTGTATCAATGTCAGCGGACGTGAGATCGAATCGTTGATTTGAGAATTCCTTGGCAGCCCTCTCGGCGACTTCTCTCTATTTCAAATGTTCACGGGATTATATTACATCTTCTCCTCTATTGTTCGGTCGTAGTTCGCAAATGCCAGCGCGAAATCGCATCGAAGCCAAGTAGACGCCGACACGAAATCTCAGTTAATCAGAGACAAGCCGTTCTGCCGGATCTAAATTATTATCCGGAAATATAATACGATCCGCTATCGAATGTCTCATATAAATGACTGAATGACGCAAAAAGAGAACATGTATGTATTCAACGCGTGTTTTGAAATTTCTTGGTATCTACATTAAGCACTCAGCAAGTCCGACTTAGGACTTCACATTGAGAAGTACATTTCTATATTGCCGCCATCGTGTAAAATTAGAATCTTTTATACATTATTTTTCTTAGCTGTAATTAGATTCATATCTTTATCATATTTTTATATTACTGTTTTATGACTGCATTTCCTTTCGAAGAACGCAACTGTGAATTCAGAATACTTGAATCTGATATCAAGATCCACACTTTCGAACGTCACTGAGAACCCCAGCTGCTTTAATCCGAAAGTTAACTAAAGACACGAAAAGCTCGGCAAAGAATTAGATCGAGAAGGAGACTCACGCGGGTGACGACGATCGGCGTGCCCAAATCGGCGCCTCCGGCGATGCTTATGCCCCACGGCCTGCCGGTGCTGGATCTCCTGAGCCTCACGATCACCGTGTGCCTTTTCGTCATGCTCTAGACTCGGTCCAGCCAGCACTACCACCAGTAACAACAACAACAACAACGGGGGAAAAAAAAACCACAACAACAACAGGCACCTAATAATCAATCACGAGATGCACTATGTGAGCGGGATGAGGAGAGACTTTCGAATTTTCACAGAAGATGGGAAGACCTCGCGCGAACCGGCGCGAGCGAGATGGATCTCCCGGATCGTGGACGCTCTCTGCTTCACTACTGAGATAGTAGCTGCAGCTGTAGCAGCGGACTATGTGCCGACTTTGACAGAGCTCTGGGCTCCGAGAGAGAGAAAGACAGCCTCGGTTGCCCAACTTTAGCGGAGACCACCGCCACTGATCCATCCGTCTGTCTCTCTTTCTCTTTCTCCCCCTGCTATTCTGGCCCCATTTCGAGCTGGCATACCGTGCCAGCGTATTGTTCTGATGATCCGACCTGCACTCATTTCTCTGGTATTTGTCGCGTGCGTCCCTCGTCTTGGGACGCGGCTACCCCGCGAAGGACACCGCGGGTGGAATCCTAGAAGATGCAGGTGCTAATAATGCGTGTTGGACCTAGCCGCTATAATGTAGAAGTCTCATTTTTCTTCTATTCCTTTTGGTTTTCAGATATTAATCTCTTACTCTTCAAAAATATTATTCTAGGACTGCAAAGAAAAATTTGCTTTATTTCAAACATTTATATTGCAAAACAAAATGTAACACTAATTCTGCAATAATTACGTAATTATATATCTGCTGCAATAGTCTACCAAAACTATGATACAATATTCCCAAAACGATAGGATGCATACGAAATTATAAACTGTAAATATCGAGGAAAGATGGGGGAAAATAATTGCCATGAGTACTCATGCAAAATGAGTGCAGGCGTATTTATGACACAGCATCCATGAAAAAAATGCCAGGACGTATATCATTCCATCAAATCCTAATAACAGATTCTTCGACAAAATTGGTGCCAAATTTCGGAAAGAATCATTATTTGTCACCACTTAACGATTTTCAATATTTTAAATAATATACTTGAAATGAATAAAAATCACAGATATTTAGATATCCAACTATATTTTTTAAAAATCAATCAAAATTACTTTACTTTTTACGTCAATGTTTCTATGATTGCCTTCAATTAAATTAATTAATCATGTATCGCATTATTAAATTATTGTTCGATTAAACTCATTGTCACATTTCTTACAAAAAAAAGAAGACAATTCTACATCCATAGAAGAATCTGTCATTGAAAATCGATAAAGATAAAAGATCCAACAAATAAATAATCGGAAATTATTAGAAAAAAAGGAGGTCAAAGAGCGACTTCCTGTGAATCGTGCTTACATAGGTCTCGTAAAAGTGGCCTATGGAGAACTTGAGAGCCATCCTCGATCCGTGAAAACCTATCTGTCCTTCCTCGCTTTTCTTTCCGCTTGTTCCCGACGAGACGCTCGCGCTTCTTCCGCCGACGTTCACGGACGGCGAGAAACTTCTCCCCTATGCGAATCGGCACGATGCAATTAGTTTGGCTGCACTGTAATTAACGGAGACGTGAGAAAGAAAGGAGGAAAGATTGACGGAGAGAAAGAGAGCGAGAGTGTACGCGGTATAGGACTTAAATTAGCAACCTATAGTACGAAAGGTTAGTCAATCGCAATCTTCGCTCTAACCGCGCTCTAGTGACTCACTTTATCTTAATTTAAATGATCATTAACGCATATCGCCGAGATATATGTGATATGCGAGATATTGGCGCTAACGATGATTATGAATCATCGGCTGATTACGCGCTGCGGAGAAACTTAAAAAAATCACTCGGAATAATTTCATGTGCTCACAAGTTCATGGAAATTAATGACAAGTGTCTGTTTTCAAATAAGAAACATCCATATATATATTTACATATATATAACATACAAAATATATGTCTTCTTCTTGCAAAACGTGATATAAAAAGTATAAAGTAGCGGAATATCTATTCTGGAAAAAACCTATTTTAAGATGCTTAAAAATCCGTGAACACAATCCGCAAATGTGACTGCAGTAATTGCGGGAACAATTTGTCGTCACACTGTTAAATCGCGACAGCTTCCAGAGTTCTATTCTGATACAAATAGTGTCAGAAATTCACAAATGCAGACATTGCAGCATCATCGATGAAGCATATGCATTTGTTGCGAATAAGATCAGAGTATCAGATACATGAAACTTCGTCGTTTTACAGATATTCTTCGGCGATGGCTCGGCCAATGACGATACGTCGTATTTCACTAGTGCCCCCGCCGATTTCGTTGAGCTTTGCGTCTCGTAACAGTCTGCCAGTCGGATAATCATTGATGTATCCATTACCACCTGTAATATGAGCAAAAGTATAAGTATTGGCCTAATTAAATTTTGCCAAACATCCGAAAATTTCCATCTTCTACTTGACGCGAGATCAAATCCTTGATGATTCTTTACTGTACATATAATTTACCAAGTATCTGTATGGCGTCCAACGCCACTTTTGTGCTATTCTCGCCGCAAAAGAGAAACACCGCGGAGCAATTCTTGCGGTCTACATGATCGGCGTCGCAGGCTCTTGTGACGGTGTACAGGAAACTCCTGCTCGCGCTTAGAGACGTGTACATGTCCGCCAACTTCCCCTAAGAGTGATTATTTTTTTTAGCGTTTCAGACTGTTCCTATTATCAAAATTTTTTAAGCAGATCTAATCTTACCTGTATTAATTGAAATTCCGCAATATGTTGGTTGAACTGCTTTCTTGTATGAGCATATTCAAAAGCGACGTCGCAAGAAGCTTGCATATTACTAAAAATTTGCGTTTATATTGTATAGTCACATAGTAAATTTTACATATACTTACCAATTTTTCATTTATCGATAATTTAACGGAAATAAGTATCTTCAATACTCGTGTAGAAGTGTCTAGATCTGTCTCAGATATATACACATATATCTTTTTGCGAGATACATCAAAATGAAAATTTGTACATACTTCGCATATTAAACATTACAAAAAAAATCATTCTTATTTTATCAATTGTAAAAAATACTATTCAATAGCTATTTTAAAATCTTTTTTAGTGTGCAAAACACGAGCACACACTACGTGTATATATAAAAACTTTAAATAGATTTTTTGAATCGAATTTTATATTGCACGTTTTATTTTCTAAATACGACAGGAAGTCAAAAAGTAAAGAAGCATTTTTAATCAATTTAGTACTTACCCCAATGCCACACCGGCTAATATTACTCGTTCCAAGTCCAATCCGCTGAAGAGAACATAAACGCCTTTATTAACTTCTCCTAAAACGTTTGCGCCTGTAAAAAAAATTTAGAATGATAAAAGATTTTTAAAAAACACCCAAAAGACAAGTTACGATCGATTATATAATATGTTCTTATTTACATTAAACTTTAAAATAAAATTCTCATTAGAGTAAAATCTATTTAAAACTAAAATTATATAAAATATTTAAATAAATAATAAACTAAAAATAAACTAAAACAATATTTAGTTTTTATTAGCATACTTATAATAATATATTGTAATATATTGTAATTTATCCTAATATGTACAATATATTATTCATATACTATTAATGAAAATATATTAAAAACATAAATTAAAATATTTCGATATTAAAGCTCGACTTTTTTTGTCTGAATGATTACTTACTCGGAATTTTACAATTTTCAAAGATTAATTCGCACGTATTAGAGCCGCGCATTCCCAGCTTGTCTAGCTTCTGCGCTGTGCTAAAACCTTCTGTATCACGCTCGACGATAAAGGCGGTGATACCATGCTGCGGCTTGTCCGCATTTGGATCAGTCTTCGCGTAAACGACAAACGTGTCCGCATCCGGGCCATTAGTAATCCAGAACTTGTTGCCGTTCAAGACATAATAATCGCCTTTCTTTTCCGCCCGCAGCTTCATAGAGACGACATCAGATCCAGATCCCACCTCCGACATTGCCAATGCGCCAATGTGCTCTCCGCTGCAGAGCTGACGAATTTTATATAACAAATATATTTATATACATTATATGTGTTTAAATATATTTATATCATTAATATTTTTTAATGCAATTGTGAGCTTAAGCAGCGTTAAATTGACACGAGTTTAATTTCATCAACAAATATATTAAAAATATAACTTTTAATTCTGATAAATTTAAATTTTGTGAAGTTTAGTAATTGCACAATGTTCAAAATTTATTTGCTATAATACTTATTTACTGAAGTATATTACAAGATTTATAAGACTTTTTTTTAAATAACGTTAGGTATTTTGTATATTAAGGCGAGATACCTTAGGTAAATATTTATGTTTCTGCTCTTCTGTGCCATTTCTGTGAATCTGATTAACGCAAAGATTCGAATGTGCGCCGTAACTAAGCGCAATAGCGGTCGATGCCCTGCTCAATTCTTCTATGATAAGTACATGATCCAGATACGTGCCGCCTGTGCCGCCGTATTCCTGCTTCGCCGTGATACCCAATAAACCCAATTTGCCCAACTTTTTCCAGAATGTCTAGATTCATATCATTTATACCAATTTAACAATTAAAATATTGTGCATGAAATTTAAATCATGTATTGTGATCCGAGAATTGTTTAAATTTTACAAAATAACAACTGGTTCTGTAACAATAAAAATATTAAAAGAACAAAAGAGGCAATAAGAATCATCAAAACGCAAGTGTTAGTGTGTGAAAGAAATTTATTGTCGAAAAGAATAAATTCTTCTTCACGCACTAATGATTCTTATTGTCTTTTTTGCTGTTTTGATATGTTTAAATTTTCTCAATTCCTTACATTTAAAATGTATTATTTGATGTATGAGAATAATACTCACTCTAATTTCATCGAAATTATTTGTTTTATCGATCTCAGCAGCCTTCGGCGCCAGCTCTTTTTGCGCAAAATTAAAAACGAGCGAACGAAGCTAAATGAAAAATAGCGATTATTCAATTTTGCACATAATACAAAAATTTTCCAGCATAATAATTTGCAAGAAAAACTTATATGTAAAAAGATCATACATTGCTTTCTTATTTATTATATTATAATACTAGACCAAGCACGCGTCATTTTTTCCCATTGTATAATAATTTAAATTTTTACTGATTAGAAAAAGAAGTTCAACCTAAATAAATATTATGGCTTATGTAAGTACAATCTATATACAAAGATATTAATAAATTTCATATTATTTTTTCTATTTAAAATAATAAAACAATTGCACAGCGATAACAATAAAAAAATGCTGATAAAGCGATATTATACTCGATCTGTAATGTTATACATTACGATTTTTTTATTGTTAAATAAATGCAAATATAAACATGTATGTATGTAATCCAATGCAATACAATTTAAATAATGTTTAATTTTACATGCACATATGTCATATGCAAATCTATAATTTTAATTTAAAATGATAAATTTCTTTTTCTTTAAGTCATGTATACGTGTTTTTGAGGACAAGTCGTACATTTTTAAGGAAAATAAACAGAAATTGTGTAAAATAAACTTTAGATATTTTTAAAATACTTTATATAATTTTAGATACTTTAGATAATTTTAAAAAGTTACGAAGTGACAATTTTAAAACGATTAAAAAATTGTTTGTTTAATGATATTTCCCATTCTCGATCAATATTTTCATTTTCGATTCACGAACGCATAGCTATAAGCAATCATGACAGGCTTAAATGCGATTCAAGCAGTATAATAGCAGTAGAAACATTGAAGAACACTGTTACTAACCTCTCTTTGCTCACCATTCAGTCCATAAATGTTATCGTCGATCTTGTAATATTGTGATACACATCTTACACCGACTTTATTAAAGCAACTTGCAAGATTCTTGGCATGACGTAAAACCGTGAAACGATGTGCTAAAATCATTTTATCGTTTGTTGATTGATTAGATGCACTTTAAATCGAAGAAATTCACTTGTGTCTTTTGTATCTGAACGTTGGCCTGTTGTTTGTCTGTACAAGCAAAGAAAACGAAAAGATTAAATCACTACTTATCAGTTGAGTGTTATCAATGTCAATAACGGTAGTATATATATATATATATATATACCCGTGAGCTACAGATAATGGATCGCAGTCCAAATAAGTTGAAATTGTATGTACATAACACATCTTTTTACAAAATTATTTAACGGCTAGCGAATTAAATAAGTTATTATTTATATGAATAAGTTTTACATTTTCATGCTGTACTTAAAACTCTCATCAAATTACGTATCGGAAATTAAAAGTTGCGAGATTGGACTTTGACCAAACGAATAATTTCAACTTGCCTTTGTACTAATTGAACGAATCCAAATATTCTTTTTTTATCTCTTTCGAAATTAGAATTCTTATATACAGGCTTAAAAAGATCTTAAGATTATATTTTAAAAATTGTTTTAAACATTGACTTACATTATTAAGTGGAAAGTACTCTCTCTGTCTCTTTCTTTCCTTATATTCAGATTATGAAAGATCTAACCAAAGAACCTAACAAATTTTTGTTACAGCTTTCATCACAAGACTGATACGATTACACTGTAAAAAATTACTGACTGACAATTCAGACAAAAGTGTTTGAAGTTTTCTTACAGTCACATTGTCTGAATTTTCGGACAGAATATTGTCTGAATTTCTAGCTACAGTTGTCTGAATTTCTAGCTACAGTTGTCTAAATTTCTAGCTACAGTTGTCTGAATATTTCTGATCTCAATGCCTGAATATTCAAACACTTTTATCAGAATTTAGATGTGGTTTTTTTAAAATACTAACAATATATTTTGGTTTAAAGTATACTCAATGATGCGATGTTTCCTACCGGGCTTCCGACTCCCGAGCCCCACGCAAGCGAGAAGCGCGTACATGTTTTCG